GGATTCCAGAACGCAACGAGGCTGTCGCGACGATCGGATCGCACCTGATGAGAAAATTCGCGTGCGATCGATTGCCAGATGCCCCCTAACCTTAACGGCTCCGACCTGTAGAAGGCAAAGGTAGGGTGATCCTTTCTTTTCTCGATGCCCCCTCCAGTGACTCCATAAAATGAAGATGATGATGGAGTGGCTAAAATACGTGGAATGGATGGCTTCTATACACAGCGATTTGTTGAGAAAATGGGGGGAGAGGGAAAAGCTGAAAAGACTACTCTGAGGACACAAAGCGCTCCGCCCCCCTGCCCCCCCTCCCCCCGGCCCCCTGAGGAAAACCTGAGGCTCGCTCGGATCCACCTGCCCATTTATTTACCTCTTCCGTATAATATATTTCAAACAGTTCAATGAAATAGGGGAAAAGGCCGACGATTGATGCCTTTCTCTCTTTAGCTACGTTGAAAACATGGGAAGAGCACTCTTGCCCCCTCACATCGCAGCTGATAAATGCACCCATATGAAGATAGAGTGCCCCTCGAACAAGTGTAGTGACAAAGAGTGGAGATTAAGGCTTGGCATAAACGCAACCATCCGTCATCAACTCCCATATCGGTCGTCACTCGGGGCTCGATTAGTCATCCGTAATGCAACACCTGACACGATCTTTGGGGTAGATCGCGTGATAGGAGGCATGATGAAGAACCGAAAAACCTACAGGTCAATCAATAACTCCATTCGATTTTTCTTCTCGGTTCTAGGAAGAAGTGGAAGAGGACGAGTGGGGAGGGGAAGCGGGGGAGGGTTTGGGGAGGAGTGGGGCATACGTATGAGATCGTACGTGATGAGTGAAATGCTTTTGGTGACCAACTCCCTTGGAGAGCTTGTGGTCAGAATAACGTTCGCCACACACAATGCGAATGCGCCACATTTCCGCATTACATACCGTAAGACCGAAGACGAGCAATTTTCCAATGCTGAGGGCCTCGACGGGAAAAGAAAAGCAGAATTTCTTTTTAATGGGATCGGTTCCCCCTCCATTTCTCAACACCCGACCAAATCTGGAGACCGTGGGTCCATTAATTCCCCACGACTCACGTACGATTCTTTTTCTTTACGGAGTCGACGCCCTAACCCCACCAGGGAAAACGATTTGACGCGATTTAAAAAATATAAAAAAAAAACATGGGTGAGGGCTTTGCCCTCTCCCTCTTGCTTCCCAGGCCATCTGTTCACATCTACGTATCTAAGTTCAGTGTCAGAGGGCGATGGAGATAACTGTTGCCATACAACGCGTCACTCGCGGATCCAGTACGACGCATTCGAGCGGCGCAGATTTCGAATTTCTGCAACGCAGAACTCAAATTTCATCGGAACAATACTTAAATTTCAGCGGAGCAGTACCCTCAAGCGTACCATGACAAATCCGCGTTGCCGAGGCCATCGGAAGGGCTAGAAATGTACAAATTCAAGTTTCCCATTCCTTTACTTTTGGGGGGGGGAAAGCTAACCATTCGACACGAGTGATATTGACAGAAACTTTCAATTTAGTCAACCTTGAAATGTTTTGGCGGTAAAGGACGATTGCGGAAGGGGACTCAGGAGGCTCGCCCGTCGCGCTATGACGGCCGTAAGATTTCTCGGAAGCGGACTGAGAGTCTCGTCGGATTTCCGCATCACGAGACAACTGCAACGTACAGCTAAATGACCTTCACGAAAAAAATTATTTTGTGGCGGCGCTGGCTGCTGCAGATCAACCCAGAAACACCTGTCGAATTCCTGTCGCGGCCGTCATTTTCTACGCATCACACTCTTACCAGTTTTGTGTTTCGCGATAGACCAGGAACCCTGCCGTGTGTTTTCCCAGCTGCGACCCCATTCACCGCGACTCACCATCGAGGGCACCGGGCGACATGCTCCACGCTGGGCCACCCCATCGAGGTAAGTGGGGCGTGGCCTTGTCAGATGCAGCTTCCACGAGTGCTCTCGAGGCTTTTTGGAAAAAGCCTTCGAGGAAAGCGGGAGGTTACCACGCAGGGAAGAAAGACAAAACCGGGCGTTTTGCACGAACTCGTTCGTCGGGGCAGACTGATGGCCGCGGGCAAAAAGAAACAAAGAAACATTTTCGTTCTTCGAGTCAGCCGATTTCGAAAACGGGTCGAAAATCCCTCGACGCACTGCAATTTACAGTTTTTCCGGGTTCTCGAGACGTCTGGCCCACCGCGGCGCCACATCATTTGCACAAAAGCGGTTCTCAAATCATCACGTGTTCGCCTGCCTGCACGAATTCAATGTTTACCGAGTAAACACACGTGAGAGACGGGGAGGGAGCAAGGACGAGAGGGAAGTCAGTCCGTCGCCGGTCACGAGAGGGCATCTTCGACTCTCCGCATATTCGATTCTCCTCCCGTGCATCGAGGGCATATTCGATTCTTCTTCCGTGCACCGCGAACAACGCGGACACGTTAAGAAACGCCTCATGTGTGCAAATTGCAGCTGATGAACCCAAGTCGTGCGCGTGGCTGCGAAAAATATTTCTCAACCAGCTCTTGCGCGTGACGCCGATGTCAAGGAGACATCGCGAAAAAAAAGACATTTTAAACATTCGTGGACGTTTCGAAAGACTCTGAAGACCGCTCGACGCAAAGTACAAGGGATTGATAAGACGACATATTCAGAACGCTTGCGGCATTCATAATTCAACAGTCCCCGTAAATGTCACGTGACTACTCAAACAGAAATCCAACGGGAATGCCGCTCCTCTCGAGGCTCCTTCCTCGATCGAGCGACATTTGTCGATTCGTGCATACAAATTCGATGCAATTATTGCGGCTGCCATGCCACAAAAACCGCTAGTCCGATTAATTGTGGGGTGTTTAATCGATGGAACGATTATTCAAATTCATCGGTCCGAAATTTCCTCTTTGAACACGGCAAAGGAAATGACATTTGAATCTAATATCTCGGTGACAAATCGATCTTCGACTCCACTTTTTCCCGTCGCATCTCGCATCTGGCACGAGGAGACACATTTGGCTTTCACCGTGGATAAAATAGGTTTCGGAGATCTCTTTACGTGCGATTAATCTCAAGGACCATGGAAATGGAGTACGTCGACGTCGCATACATTTTCCAGGCCTGCAAACTTCGCACACAGCAGCACGTGTGACGAACGAAACCGAATACAGACGCGTCGGCCGGAATATCTCCGTGAGAGTTCCCTTTGCGTGCTTCCCGCACGGGGAATTCGGCCTGCATCATCTGAAAGCCCTGCCAGCACGTAACGACGCGCACGCACGCAAGGCCCATGCGATTCGGCCGATGTCGACGCGGATCCCGTGACAGACACGGCCCGTGCTCGTAACGACTCGAGGGAGTGACGGCTGATCGTGACGTCTGATGGCGACGACTTCACCCGTTCCGAGATGACTTTTTATATCCCTGATCGGGGTAAAATCAAATCGTGTGGATTTCACGTTTGACAAGTTACCACAGATGGGTAACACTGATAACGCGAATGAAACCGTTTGGGTCTCTTTTCTTCCCTCGAGCTCTCCGCTCGTAAAGTTCGTCGACGTTCTCTTCCGACGAGGATTCCATCGCGAAGAAATATATCCTGAGAAAGTTGGTCGCGCTTTCCCGCAATTTCGGCGGATTCCCCGACGGAGTTCCCTTCCCTCGATGGCGAGGCTCGAGGCAGCTATTAAAGGAGTCCCGTTCCATTAATTCCGGGGGAAAAAATGGGTCTGCGACGCAAAACGGAAATGATTCACTTTCTCTCATCTTCCATTTAGCTAAAGAAGCCGTACGCGGAAGATGACGGATCGTTCCACTCCCGCCGACGTGTCACAAAGTCGCTTGAGCGTGATGCGACGGTCTCCTTTTCCGACTGCGGGAATTTCTCGTCTTTCACGCGTTAAACGAAGCGTGAACGAAAAAATTGGGTCTCTTTTTCCGTCACGATGACCTACGAAAACGCGCGAGGCTCGTCTCTCGACTGCGCACGTTGGGGTCAGTTGCTGGGGCCACGGATCATTTGCGGGAACTTCCGGGATGCTCTGGGAAACGGGGACGTAACCCTTCGACACCTCTCATCAGAGTACTTTGAGGACTTGGCTTTCAGCCCCGATGTTATTCTCATTCCGCTCTCTGGCTTTGGGGCACGATTTTTCAAATAAAATAAATATAATTATCATCTCGTAGCCAGGATGAAAAAAAATATGATGGAACAGACTCGTGGTAGAAGATTCGATTTAGTTTCCGGGGAAAGAGCGTTGCCATGGCAGGCCAGACTCACCGAACTGGACGAGGGCACGGCGAGGCAGAACGGCGGAGTTAACTTCGTTTCCGACATCAACGCTTCCTGCAGATCGTTCCAGACTTTCACGTCCTTATCGAGCATCTTCGGCGGGCTATCTCGGGGGATCGACAAGATCTACAAGGAAACAGGGGGAGACGGAAATGATTTTTCAAACCGTGCTAGGCGAAATCCTTAGGTGTATTTATAGGCACAAACGCTGAAAAGAGAGGGGGAAAAACAGGGCACAGCTGATGCGAACGCGACGACAACAAGAGCACAGGCAGTACAGCCGTTCGTCAGCGTGGGGAGCACGAGTCCAATGCATGGTCGATATCAACACAGTCAGCTGCAGTCCTACCCCCGGCGTGAAACATAGATCCTGCATTTATCGCCCAGTACTTGCCAGTCGTTTTTTTCCGATGCGCACATAACGAAACACGTTTCCACAAAGGAAAAGAATCCTTGCTCCTTCTCGAACGAAGTGAATTGGCACAATAGCCGTTGGAAGGGTTCCTGTGGAGGCGTAGGAATACACACCCCCGTGAAACAGCTGATTCCCTTGTTCATTTCAAAAGAGAGAGGAGGAGGAGCGTCCAATCCAGGACCGAGCAAGCTTCTTTCCCCCAGCCAGTCTCCGTTCGACGCGATACGAGTCGGATAGGCCTAATTTCTGATGTCCGACTCGGACTCGAAGAAATTTATCAGTCGAATGAGGTGATTTGTGTTTTTCCGTCCGTCGTTAGCCATCATGGCAGTATTCTGAATGTCATTGGGCTGTTGGGTGGGCTGCATGGTCCCTGAGGACAAGAGGGGTGTCAGCAGCAAGATTGGCCAGGTTCGTCCTTCGTCCTCCATCCCAGGCCTAACAGGCGTACATATGATATGGATAGGTATAGGTCTGTGATGTATATATATAGCCTAGACATTCATTTTGGTTTACACATGTGGGATTCTGCCACTGACGACGTCTCTCTCAATTGGCCATAGAGTGATGCAACCTCAGGCAGAACTCAACTTCTATCTATTATATCTTTACAACCTCAAAGTAAGTCCAGAGCTAGTCCTAGATTTTAGTCATAGCCTAGCTCAGCCCTGCCTTCGCTTTGCCCTTCCCCTACCATAGTCTATGGGAGGCTGAGACATTTTGTGACACCCATGCAGACTTGTGCTGTCTGCTGTGCTCCACCAGTGTAACATGATTGTGAAAATTGGCTCAAGTTTAGGCCTTTCATATATGTAACAGAGCCTCGCCTGGAGTATTATGACTATCTTTGAGGACATGGAATTCTAGGAATGTTGTTTTAGTCATTAGCATCAACATAGCCCTAAGTGGTTGGCTTATGACACACCTAGTCATTACATTAATTTACTTGGCCATCATATCTTATTGTAAATATCCTATTATTTCTAAACTCCTCTCCCCTGTACCATTCATATTAGGTTTATTTGACCTTTGGTCAGCGTCTGTCAGGTTTGACTAATACATTTTGAAATTGACTGATTGACTTGCATTTACTAAGCAATTTGCATTTTGTTTGTTTTAACTCAGTTTGGATGGAGTGGAAAGTAAATGTAAGTTTCCTACAACAGTGAATGAGATAGTTATGTCTTGCAAGTTGGAGGTTGGAACTCAAATCCATGCTACCAAAAGGAGTAGATCTAACACCTCTTCACCTACAGCAAGAGCCCTTGTATGTCAGCATGAAACATTCTAAAAATTGAAAACCCTGCCATTTCCATGTATTCCACTGCTTGAAGTTCGTTTACAGATTAGGCTATGCTAAGTCAACTTTAATATTTTGTGGTGGGTCCATAATAGGACCTTGTAGAGCATACTGTCAACTTGCTCCATTGAGTTCATTGTTACAAATCAATGTGCCTACTGAAGAAAGTCACAATCTTTTTTTGATGAATATAACTTTTCATTACCATATGATATTATGCACATTTAATGTTTTTAAACCTTTTGGGGAGGTGTAACTAAGCCTAATAATTTTAGGGAAGGCCATTTGAACTTGCATCTATGAATGAGTTAGGATTAATGATTCCATTCAAATGAAAGGGTATGTAATAGAGTAAAAGCTTTTAGATTAGAGAAAGCTTTTATGAATGGAAGATGTGTTACTTATAGCTCTGCACAGAAGGAAGGTCTAAAACATATTGATTTTTACAGGGGTTTTGCATCAGGCCAGAGGGACAGGTGGAGGGAGGAGAGAAGAAATGGACGAAACCCCTGGCTCAATCCGTGCTAAAGGCTTGGCTGTAAGTTTTGGCGGCCATGCATGGGCTGTGGATCCAAAATCCATTAGTCAAAAGCTCCTTCTGCTTCTACAAAAAGAAGAAAAGCTCTGGAAACCTCGATTGTACCACCTGGAAAAAGATCAGGTGAGACCTTTCAGAATTTCTCTAGTTTATTTTGCTAATTTATGCTATGGGAGACCCAAAAGGGTTTTTAAAAAACTTATTTGGTTCAGGTTTTCACTTCTTTACACCAAGTGTCTTGTACTGGACATTACTATATCCCGGTGTTGGTGCAGTGGGGTGTGATAAACCCCAATCACACTTGGAATTAATATAGGGTCTAATTTCAATTATATGTTAATTTGTTTCTATATCATAATTGCATTACAAAGAGGTACTCCAGTCAGTTTATAGCTAAGTGGGGTCTGAGGTATGTGAAACCCCACCAAATTAATGCTTGGGTATGGAAACAAGCTAACTGTGATTGAGCTGGGCACTCTATATTTGATTTATGCATTTGCAATCCACATCAGGAGAGAGATTACCTCTGAGTAGATCATGACTCCCTTGTTAGCTTTGGTGGGTCTGCATTGCCTCTAGTCAGAGCTCCACGTGCTCATCTTCTGGAAGGTTTAGAATAAACTGTGTGGTGTGATCTAGATTGGCGAGGTGCCAGGAATAAGTGCATACTCTGGCTTGCTCCTCTTTCCCTTTCGGATACCTGCTGCCTGGGCCTCTGTGCCATACTGTTGATTGGGCATAATTTGATGTGGGATTTCCACTACTGAGAGCTGAGATTACCATAATTCAGACTTGTGAAATTCCTTCTGCCATCTCAGGACAATGAGGAATACATATTAAATGAGCATTGCGCAAGTTTATCTGACAAGAAGCGAGTGTCCTTTCTACGATGAAGTTGCATTCTCGGTTTCCTGCAAGAGGGAGGAGGTACAATACTTTCCCGTGGGGAGGACTGTGTTGCATGGGGAAAGAGGAATGCATGCGGAGGATGTGCATTAAACGTCGCGTCACGAGGGCGAGGGGGGGGAGTCCATTCACGCGCACGCTGTTGTAGAGCAGGAGAGGGGATTTAAATTCAAAGCTCTGGGTTTAGCCAATGAGGTGAGAGAACGCTTGACTGCGCACTTCCCGCAACCCCATTCCCATCCGTATGGCCTCAGGCCATGCTGTCTCTGCTCTTTGGCTCTTCCCCATTTCTCGCTCTCACGGACAAAGGAGTCTTTGTTCTTGCATCTGCCGAGTCCGAGACACGAGGCGCTTGCGCGATCTCGTGGAGCATTTGCGTCATTACAGCTTTCGTCGCCGTCGTATAGGTGGCAGCACTAAGTAAACATTCCCCTCGAAGCCACCCCTCCCCCTCTTGTTCATTCAGGTCTGGGACCTTACGAACAGTTAGCCACAGGTTTTGTTAGCTCTTGCGAAATGCTGAGATACGCAGTTTCCTGTATCGGCTTTGACCTTCCTTGAATCGATTGCTATTGGGCGGCGTAGCGAAAAATTCGAAAGCGGGTCAGAGTAAATACTGTTTTTTTTTTTTTTCCATTGAGAGGAGGGCATGTTAACTAATTTATATCCTTCTGCAGGCTAATGTAGCCACGTGAGTGCTGTACAACATATATCCCTGATAGGGTTTGAAATTAACAAAATATGCCCATAAAGAAATATGGACAATTAATCCAAGTACACTTGTATATGAGGCCCTGCTGTAAGTACCTACAGCCGCCTTTAGCCAAGGCACCAATCAATACTGTAAGAGTGTGGCCTACTACTCTTGATTCGCATGAAAGAATGGTTTTCGCCGCTATGAAGCTTTAAAAAAAAATCACAGCAAGTTCAAAGTATGGACGAAGCAGTGCCCATAATTAGACAAGTTTGTATGAGCATTGGATCTAAAATATGTACTGTTCATAGTAATTATGAACGGGTGGCAACACTAATCCCAGATACGAATATAGGCACGAGTGATCGTAGAATAATCATTCTGTGTTCTCGGGTTCTCTCGTGCACTAAAAGTTAGCGTAGTGATTCTCGCCAAGCATCCGCGGAACAGGTTGAGACCGGAATCACGTTGTCTCTCGGCTCCTCGACTTCACTTCATTGTCGTGGGCGTGGAGTTGAGAAAGGGCACGATACATTCAGTTCGGATGCACTATGTGCACATTGGGGATTTGGATGGTTAAAATATAAATGTTACTTGTACTCGAAGAGGAAAATTTGTACGTGTGATGAAGTCGATTCGTTTCGCTTTTTGCCAGTCATTGTCAGCCAAGGAGGTCATGCGTGAAGCTTACTGTGAAACCCCTCAAACGAACCCGTTAGACTGGCGTGATTTTTTGACAGAGACAATGTGCAGTTGAGCGATCGCTGGCAGTGGATCCGTCTTCCTCTGCTTTATAGATGGCTTACCCTCTCGGTTTATTTACACGGTTAGAAATTCCCGAAAATAGCAAAGGCAGCCCGATGATAGACTGCATGTTGGCGTGTTGAGGTAAGTTCCCGTACTTTCAACAGCGAGTCTGATCGAAATCGAACGAGACCCGTTTGGTGTCGCCGTGGCGTTTATTGGCAAGAGAATCATTCGCAGGAATACTGTAAGACCAGGCCTAGGCCTACCCCATCCCGAAAGAGACGGTCCAGTCAAGTTTTGGCTTTGGGAACGCCTGTAATAAATCCTACTCGCATCCTCTCCTCGAATAACGTCCAACTACGAACAGACTGTCGATGAGAGGGGTTAGATGATGAAGGTTTCCGGCTGGAACTTCTTCGGTGGTGCGGAGAGCCATTCTGGTTTATGGAGAACGGTACTCTGGGGCCGATCTTTGCCCTCTCCTAAGGCGTTCACGTTTCCGGATGGAAGGCCGCGGCGAAGACCGAACTTGTACCTGCTGAAGGAGAGGAGGTCGATTAGAGTTTGCAGCTGTCGTTTCTATGCGATACGAAGCGTACGACTGACCTCGACGCAGACTCTGCGAGCGGATTCTGAGAGGGTATCGTCGTCGTCAACGATTCGGTTTCCGTCGGCATCGGAGTCGTCTCCTCGATGCCTCCTTCGTTCTGATGGAAGGAGAAGAAGCTGGGGAAGAAGAGTAAGGAGTTAGATCTGCTGCGGACTTGGGAAGCGGATTCCAATCCGTTGAACGGTTTCGCTCGTTCGTCCTTTCTCCGCACGGGCTCGAGTTCGTGTTCGTGTTCGTTTTGTGCGTGGGATCCCTCGGTTCCTTCCCTCCTCCGAAAGGTCTCGCGTGTGGGGGCTCGTTCGTCTTGGGGGGGCTTGGATCCTAACCCTTGGAATCCGTCGCCCTCCCCTATGTTCTTTCCCCATATGGTGTTGTGCAAGGGAATATGAGGATGAGGTCGAGAGGGTCGGGCGCGGAGCTGAGCTCGTTGGTACTCGAGGACTGGTTCCCTCTCCCTGTCGGCGTCTGCGTTTTCGTAGGCCGGTCCCTTCTCCAGTTCTGGGAGAGCGGTCGTCGATGTGGGGCTGTTGGTTCGAGTCCGAGTCCGAGTGCGAGTGCGGGTGTCATCGGGGCAGGCGGAGAGGTGAGGGGACAGGGAGCAGGATTTCCCCACCCACGCGTCCCTCAACCCCTTCACGTGTTCCACGTGACTCTCCCCCGAGTATGACCCCCAGTATCCCCACTCCAACAGCAAACTATATGATAACATGGTCCGAAGATGAAGAAGAGAAAGTACCCTAGTAAGTAATTTTACGCCTCTGCGATGGAAAATGCGAGTGGAACGAACCTGAGAAAAGGGGCAAGGGTGGCGGTGAGTTGATTCCCGTGCTTCCATCGACCGATGCCTCGACATAATGCGAGGGACAGGCAATCGCCACGACTGTCAAGGTCATAGCGATGCTCCTTGTAAGTGGACAGGATGTCCATGGCCACTGGGACCAGGTCATAGGTCAGCCGAAGCCACTTGTCCACCGTGTATCCTGTTCCCGCTCCCTTCTTTTTCTGTACCTCTGGTTGCGAGGGCTCGATTCGCTTGATTTCTAATTTTGGTTTCCCCTCATCGCCGGAACCCGACGCGAGGAGATAATCGAAGACCGCTGCGAGGGATCTCGCATCTCGCTTCTCATCCTTCACCATCTCTTCTTCGCTCTCCGTCTCCAATTTCGATAGATGCTTTTCCATGTACTCCAGGAGAGATTTGATCCACGGTTGAAGAGTTTTTTCTAAGCCTGCCTCGATGTGATCCACTCCGTTAGAGAGGGAATTTTGGAGCGTTTCCATTTCGTCCTTCCTTTTCTGTTTATCCGAGCCGAGTAGGCGTTTCAACGTCAATAGGGCCACGGTGTCATCTGATTCCTCGAGAGACGGGATGATGAGATCCACGTGAAGGTTGTCGGGGATGGTTTCCATGACGACGGAGAGTCGAGTGAGGATGTCGCTGGCCCAGCCGAGGAGGACCTCGTCTTCGCTGGTCGGGACATCCACGGCATCGAGCTCGACGCGGGTTACCTCCGGCTGGGCTCCGTCCTTGAGTCGCAGCTTGGCGCGTTCCGAAACGCGGAGCTTGATGTGGTGGAGCCATTTTTGGAGCTCGTCGCTCGTCACTTGGATCTCGGATTCTGGGTGGAGGAAGAAGACGCGGTTCTCGAGGGCCTTCTCTTCGTTTAGGTTCTTGACCAGTTGAAAGATGGAGGACGCCTTGGTGAGGATGTCTCGTCGTCGGCGGAGACTGCGCGGTTCGGCTCCCGGGGCCCCGAACACGAATCGACGGGCGTCCCCTTGGTTATCCAGAACACTCAGCAGTTCGTCGAGCACAGATCGGACCTTGAAGTCCAGGTATTCTCCTGGCATGAACTCGAGTCCCGTCCGGATGCCACCCTCGCCGAAATACTTGTAAATGAGACCGAGGAAGAGAGTTCCCAGGTTGAGGGAGGCCAGCAAGATGGCGAAGGAGGGGTCCACGTGATGCGCTTGCAAAGCCCTGGACTCGAGAGCAGAGTCCAGGGCTGGGTCAGGGAGGCCTATTGCCATGATCGAATCACTGGACAGACGACTGTGTCCGCCGAGTCCTTCTCAACTGGACTGTGGCTGGAGGCACACTGTCCGGCCGGTCAGTCGCTTTCCAGTGCGATGCTCTCACTCGGATGGTCAGTGGCCGTGACCATCACACACCCTCCCTTTTATTCTTCCTTTGGTTTTTTTTTTCATTTCTCCTTTTTTTCCTCCCCTTTTGTGATCCCTCCTGGAAACCGTTACTCGATGTGGAGCTAGATCCGCTTCGAATCTGGATGAATATTCTGCGTGAGGGAGGGATTTTCTTCATTTTCGGTCCGCCGTCGTGCGAATGGCTGAGCAGGGGGAAGTGAATGAACCAGGAAGGAAGGAAGTGTTCGTTCATCATCTTCATCTTCATCTTGGTCCGCCTCGGGGCGCCATTTTCCTTGCGGTGAATCTCCCCCTTTTTTTCCTCAGGCGTGGCCGTGGAAGGGGACTTGAAAGAGACTTAGCGTTTCCTTACCCGTTACTCCCGGCTTCACTAGATCCCGTTTGGTTGATCGCAACCCGGCTGGAATTAGGCTATCTTTCCATTCCATTGAGCCTAGTGCGGGCATGAAGGAATCCGTAGACGGAAAAATCGATTTCCTCGTGCAGGAAATTACGACCTGCATTGCAACCGTCTATTCACGGTACTCCCCGATGGAGTCTTCCAAGGGGCACTGGCAGGCCGTTGGCCCTTCTGTTGCGACTGAATAATTGGCATCTGAAAATTTTCTTTCTTTTTCTCACTGCGGGGAGCGCCTAATGAAACCTGGCCGCTCATGCAGAACGTGTAAAAAACCATGCCATGTGTAAATCCAAGGGTAAAATTATGCTTTTAGCGACTAAAAGGGGTATAGAATGCGCTGTTGCAACTAATGCACGGAAAAGGTGCATTTTCTCGAGGCGGAAAGCATGACATCAAGTTTATTATTGAGCTCGCCTTTGCAATTTTCCCCCTACTCCGTTTTTAAACTGAAATCCTTAGTGCTCAATCAATTAAAGTTAGACTACTGCCTCCCAAGGCTGATTTCAAGAATCCGAAATAAAGCTATTAATATTGAGGGGTGCAAAGAATTCTGCTTTAAAAAAAAGCCAGTTTTTGGAAGAAAATACAGTAATTTTTTTTTATCCATTGCTTCTGTGCCCACAGCAGCAGCATATTAATTAAATGACTCCCAATTATTAATGTATATGATGAGAATCATCTTATTCACAGTTCACTTCATGAATCTGGGGAGTTTGATTAGGGAAGCTGACCAGACGAAAGCATGGTGAAAAAAACCGCAATTACTCCATTTTCACTCACAGTTCAAGGAATTGAGAGACTTTGACTATTGCGACATGAATTATGATATGGAGCAGGGACTTAGCTACTACAGATATCTGAAACGTTACAATTTTGGTAAAAACGCAATAGCCTTGGAGTGGGAATCAACAGGCATCTTCTAGGGATACACCAATGACCTCATGGCCAGCCTACTGATACTTTTTATGTTTTTGGTTTCACCACTCAAAGCAGGCCACTAGTCTTCCCTCATTCCAGGTTAACTCCTAGAGGAAAAGGTACAGTCTTATCAGGCTTTCTTCTTTCAGCAATCCAGAAGAGATTGTAATCAGAACCAAGGGTCAATTGTGTTTGTCCATGAAGTCCCTTTCTTTCCCCTTAGATAATTGAACCTCAAATCAGTAACTGGCCCTGATGTTGTGTGTCATTTATTGATTTTGTCCTGAACGTGAAAGAGATATCAATGTCCTTGCCTTCTTCTAGGATGTGGAGATAGGAGGGAGGGGTCGTGATGGAGCTGCTCGATGGGTCCTGGAACTGTCAAAAGTGGCTGGATTGGCAGCAGATTCATCATTTCTGGCCTTGGACATCATGGATCGATTCCTCCATATGGTCAGAGCCAAATCCAAATACCTCAAATGCATCGCTCTCTCCTCTCTACTCCTGGCAGCTAAGCTCTGTGAGGAAGATCAGGTAGGGATTCATTTATTTGTCCTATCATCTGACCCTCATGTCAGATGAATCTCCTGGCTTTGTCTTATCTTCATTCTTTCCTTCCTTCCTTGTAGTGTGTGCCAGCGATCTCTCAGCTGATCGAGGCAAGCGATTCCTCATTCACTGCGTCTGATGTCCTCCGAATGGAGCGGGTGATCCTGGAGAAACTGGGATGGTGTCTTTGGGGCCTACCCACACCCTTGGACTTCCTCCATGTCCTCCATTCACTTGCCTTGGATGCACATCCCACCCTCCTATGGGCATTACCCCAAGGTCTCACCCGCACTCCAGCATTTCAGATGCTCCGCCTCATCAGACGCCTCAAACTGGCCATGGCTGACTTCCGCTTCCTCCGTTTCCCTCCTTCTATGCTTGCTCTGGGTGCCCTGAGCCTGGAACTCCAAGCCTGTGCTCCCACCTACCACCATGCACTCACCTCTCATCTCCTCACCATCATGAAGGTCCCAACTCCTATCTGATTCCCTTTTCTGCATGTGATGTATATTCAGAAGTACTGATTGTGATCAATGAGTTGATTTATACTTATGGTTGCAGGCAGAGAAAGCTGCCTCATGCCTAAGAGCCGTCCAGGCCCTCTTGATGGAGGAGAAGAAGGTTGGTCATGGTAAGGAGAACTCTCCTCCAAGTGCAGGGACTACTGAAAGCATCCAGAAAGGAGCCAAACGAAGGAGGCAAAGAAGAGAATCTCGAGGAATCAGTGAGAAACCTGCAAAGCGCAGGGTGAGTTCCTACCTCATCCAAAGCACCTAAGCACCCAACAATCAGCTGTAGCAATTTTTAATGGTGGCATGCATTGACTTACTGTCTCGAATGGTAGCTCAAGGTGAACCTTGTGGTAGTTTAGTTGGTCATTCTCCCCTTCTTCTGAGCCCCCAAGTTTCATTTTGAAGGAACAATCTCCTTAAAGATGCATCTCAAATTGAGGATAATTCTCTGGACTTAAATGCTTGCTATCTTAGAAAAACTCTCACATGCAGGTTTTGTCATACCACAGGCTGCTGATTACTCAGGTTCTTGAATTACAGAAACTTTTATTTTGCAATGCAGCTTCAAGATCCAGAGATAGCAGAGGATGAGATCTTTGATGCCATAAAGAACCTGTACAAGCTGCCAGAAATGATGGAAATTGAGTCTGAAATCCTCATCCCAATAAGGGAACCCATCACTCTGCCACCTCCATCGCAAACTCCTGTTGCAATCTTGAAATGTATCAAGCATCTCTTTGGAGGAGAAGAGGAATGGCCCCGGGTGTCATCCAACAAGGAGCCAGCGATGCACCGCCATCATGCTAATGGCCGCCGCACTTACGCCGAGGTCCTTCGCACTCACCTCAACATCCCAATGGCAGCTCTCAGTGTCTGAATGAAACCAGCCTCTGTCATCCTTGACCTCTTGCTTAGTTTTACCTACTGACCTGACATGATCCAAGCTTTGTTGATGCACTGCAGAATGGAAAATCCTTATTATTTGTTTTGCCTCATCCTTCCTCATTTGTCTAGTCTTGAAGTCCATGTGTGCATGTTTGTCAAAACTCTGTGTAGAAGAGAAATTTTATTTTTGAACAAATGCTTGAACCTGCATTGAAACTGCTAGGGCTTTGTCTTTGAGTTAGCTTTAAATTGGGTTTAGTTAGTTCCAAAATGGATGAGAGGGATTTATAAAGAAAAAAAGTTATTAATTTAAGTTTATGGAAATTATAGTACAAAGTGAGGAGGTCATTGCATGATGCTTCTCTGTATATATATTTCCGTAAAAGGTCGAGTAGTGCACTTGTCAGTTGGTCACTCTTTGGCTTGTCTTTGGACTGTATGACTGCTCTGGTTTCATGATATGCATGCAAAACCAGATTGCAATTTGACCAACTGTTGAGAGAGCTTGGGGTGGACCTATCTCCTTGGCAGGAGCATGATGGAACACCCTGTGCTGAGTTTTCCTGAATATCCTGTTCATGGGGTGATCCTGTTTTTCCTAACCTGATTGTTGCTGCCACATTGTGGATGTTAATGCAGGTCTCGTTACCAGTGGTTGGCATGAGTCATTCAATATATACCTAGACAGTTTTGTGAATGTGAAATCTGAGAGGCTAGAATTTCATATGTGCATTCCTCTTGTTTGGCAAGGCAATCCTGTTGACAACCAGGTTCGAGCAGCCAAGTTGTGCTAGTCCCAGAGGCATTACTGAGGGCGTTACGGGAAAGCTTCTCGGATAATAAAAAAAGAGAAAGTTTATGATAGAAGTTCTCTATGAATCATATACGATCACAGATTCATTTTTAAATATTTTCTTTCATTCAGCCAGACTATTATTCTGTATGATTTTGATGTTTAAGTAGTGATGCTGCAGTATCTTTGCTTTTCCTGATACTGAATAACCAGAAGCCAGTTTTATTTATCTTTTGACTGTGGGTTGATGTTGTGTGTGTCTCCATTTGTGCGTATGTGTGTTTGTTCCTGAATGAGCCTTATGCAGGCTATATTGGGAGGTGTGCAGTGCACATATGAATGTGTCCCCATCTCATGGTTATTGCCACAATCACAGAGGCATGGAAGGCAAATGAAAAAAAAAGCATGAAGACATGTCCCATTTGAGAGCAGAACTTCCTTCCTTGGCCCTCTACCCCCAGCTCTGAGGTTTCAGAGCTGAAATCTTGTGATCTGCCAGCTTGAATTTGTGTGAATGTGAACATGACACCTTGGAGTACAAGACACAGACAGAGACAGAGACGTTTGGAGGAACATCATTCCCAGCTGTGATTGAGACTGACTTCAAAACCCAAACATGAAGTCTTCTCACTAGCTCCACTCTTTCTCTCTCTATCCCTCTTGTTCACTGTACAGCTGGCTGTATGGGACACCATCCTCACTGATCTCTTATTTGCTACTAGGACAGGGAAGTGAAGGATCCTGAGACTCCATTCAATACCGAGTCACATGAGAATGGCCTATTCATCCTTTTTTGATGGGGTTTTAATGCCACATAAAAACTCTTGACAGGAATAAAAATGAAATTGATAAAATCAGCTATTGTATTCTTTTTATCAATGTCATATAGTAAGTTGAGATGCCTCATGCAAGATGTAGCCACCTGTGGGCAAGGAGAAAAGGTGCCCCAGTTTGGGTTCCTTCTGCACCATTTCACTTCATTATTTATGATGGAAGTGCCCTATGTTTCTTCTGCCTTGGTGCACTCTTGGCATAAGTGCAGGGAGTGGAAGATCATCCTTCCCCAATAATTCAACCTGCATAGCACCTGAGCTTACATGATGCACCTCAAGGGATCTTTCTAATCATATTGGTAAAATGAATTGGAAAAAAAAAGCAAAGGAAGTTTTGGGAATCATGTAATTCTCTTTCCTTGATTTAAAAGTTTCATTCCCAAAGTAGACCTGACAGTGTCTCTTAGTGCTGGAAAAGGAATATTCCATGGGTTTTGACTAAAATGAGGCATTCAAAGTTTTTGGTAGAAGTGGGGAAATATTCCATGCCAAAGGTGGCATGAGCTGAACCATCGTGAGACCCATTTTAATGAAAAATGAGTTTTCAATGCTAAGCCATTTATTGTATGTACCACATGAGTTGTGATGCTGGGGAGAATGAGAATGTTGCACTGACATGGAAAAAATGGGAACATTTGCTGATGATCAGCATAATGTTTTATATTGAGGTAATATATAATACTTCAGATTTACTAATTAACAAATTAAGTTACTCATTCAACCTACATCTCTCTCATCCTGAACTCCACTGTAATTTCTAGGGGGCATTGCAGAGTGGCATTGACAAATTTCTCTGATTTTTGGCCATTTCCTTGCTTCTTCCCATGTGGGATGCAAGGGTGACTGTCTGAACACCTTTTTGGGCTACTCTAGTCAAAATTGCACAAGTGGTTTTCTTCTTCCTCCATCATACCCGACAATACGTGTCTTACTCACAATGTTAACCTGGCATATTCTGCAATCCAATTGTCAAATTTCTCATCAGGAGAGGTGAAATCTCAGAGCAAAATCATGGAGTGCTTCAAACATGATTATGGAGAAGTGTGCCATGGTTTGCAGTGTGTGCTTTGAATGGACTGTTTCATTGCAAGATCACATGAGCAAAAAATAAACAAGATGTGATAATCGTGTTTTATTGTGTTTAGCTCATCGCCCTTCTTGACGAGTCTGAGAAACTTCTTAACCCTTCCAAGCCCAATGGTGACAATTGGCACCACCAACTTCTTACTTTTCTTACCTCAACTTTGAGATTATTTTAAATAACAGCTGTCAGCTTTACAACAGTTATGTAATAAATCGAATGACTTGTGTAGAATGTGTATTTGCAGGTATCTAGAGTGTATCAATCAGAGGGAATCTTGAGGTTTTGGAATACCTAAGGAGTGAGTAATTCCCAGAAATTCTTATCCCATCTATTTTTTTTTTTAGGTTTTGCGAGTTAGATTTTTGAAAGTAGTATAGAAATGTTGGGAAATATTTGATGGAAAGTTATGATTGAATTTCTAATTAGGCAGTATTATGTTATCTAATTTTTTTATATTAAGTTATTTAATTACAATTTTAATTTGATTTGATAGTTTTTTTTAACCATTTATTTTCTGTGCCTAGTTGAATCCACAAAACTAAATGGAATATTTGTCTCATGCCTAAAACATAATTCGGGCTTGAAAGGGTTAACATAGAGGGAAGATGTGTTGTGCTTGTTTCTGAAAGTGCACTATGCTAATTTTTATTTTTTTATGATTGCATATTCATTTTTCTTGCAACGTTAATTTTTCTTTGAAATGATAACTGGCTAAAAAGAGACAGAATAGTTAGCAAGTAGTGAAGCGGAAGCGACAACCCTGCCCCCGACACGTGTCGCGCCGATTTCAGTGTAGTGGACTCTGCAGCTTCCAGTTGATGAAGGTTCTAGGTTCAAGTAGGGATATTCTCGGATATTCTACCCATTTGTACCGATTTTAGGACATCGCGTTTGCAGATCGAGCGTTCCATATTATCCATATCCATATTATGAAATAGACCTACCCCTCTTAGAGGTCACGGAAGGGTCAGCCCAGGCACCACATTGTCACCTAACGCATTCCACTCGTTTACTACCCTACGAGTAAAGAAGCCCTGTCGCAACCTGTGCACGCCTGGGGTTTGAGCTGAATTAACTCTCTGCTCATTCAGTCCGACAGGTTTTACGTTGACAATGAAATTAATAAGAGACCGATAGGAGAAGTTGAACATTCCTTGCCCGCCAAAAATGTCGAGCTCGATTTTACAACACAGAAAGTTAGGCCTAATGTTTGGCCTTTAATGAAGTTGACTACGGTAGTCGACAGGCCTTAACCGGGATTTTGGATGTGCCAACTAACCATGTAGGCCTAGCCAATTCTAGGAAAAGCTTAACTTGTTATTATTTATGCATTACGAATAAATGGCCTTGGATAATCCCAGATATGATACTTGCACACCATGTCAGAAAGGAAAGGTTAAGCATGCAGCCAGCATGAAAGAGACAGAGTTAGCTTATGGGATGGGCATCTCTTCATTAAAGCACTTGCATGAAGAATATGAACTGCATGCATGAGAAGGGAGACAAGAATCAGCCCACTTGCACACTGCTGATCTTCTGCAATGAGCTGCCTTGCCTGCACATGCATGCCATTTGGTGATATCTATCCTTGCCTTCATTGCCTTACCATTCTCTGCAGCAGGCCTCAATTAGGGTGGTCAGTTTGGAATGGTCTGCATCAGGAGGAGGGGGCAGGGTGTCCCACCTGGTGAGAATACATCATTTACAAATAATATAATTCAATTTCTTTTCTGAATGTGAGACCCAAGTCTGCTAATAAATCTTGTGATATAAACTTTTATTTTTCTAGAGATGGAACATCCAGTAGACATATAACAGGTCCACAGGATGTAAAATAATTTTGCTGTCCCTCTGCAGACAAACTTGAATAGCTTGCTCTCTTCCTCAAGCTATTTGTACAGCTGCTCATGACCATGTTTCTTATTGATTTTGTGTATTTTCAAAGGCAAAAGTTGTATCTAGTTGATAAGAGGGCATTTGTTTAATTCCTTTATCCACCTTAATATGTTTTGACACATCCAGAGTGGAAGAGGCCTGCTTGGTGTTGGTACTACACCCTTCATGGTCCTGTAGAAGGCCATAAGGTCAACTCATAAGTTGCTAATGGCTACGACTGGCAAGAGCAGTATTTAAGGTTTACTGTATCCATATCTTCATGTAGCCCATTTAGTTGTGTGCATATTTCCACAAAATCTTGCAAATATTCCCCAAAAGGAAGGTGGGTTTGTTTGTGTTACATTTTCTAATTTACTTTACCCAGCCTATTCCCCCATACTTGGTGCTGTTGTCAATAGTGCACAAGAGGAACCCAATATTCCCAATTATCATGAACCCGTATCTGGGCAAGGTATTTCTATGACAAAAACAAGCAAAACAGAAATGAAGGTCCATTTAATTCCCCATGCTCATTTTTTTTTCCTTCTTAAAAATAAATCAGAACATGAATTTTTTTTATTGGTAGAGCCCATGTCAACAGGAGTAAAAATAAATCTGAAAGCACTGTTGGTGGAGAAAAATCTCCTGCTGCCTAGGTTCAAGCCAGAAGCCTGAACCTCTCAAACACTAAACCTGGTAGCCCTGTGAGATTGCTTGTAGGCCTACTCTTTAGCTGATAGAGTACAAGCAAGTAAGCCTGAGTTTGGCTTTGCTGATTCATAAGCTAATGATAGAGAATGTATAGACTGAACACTGACAGGTTGTGAAAGCCTAAGGAACCTAATTAATTTTTTTCCAATCCCTCCATCTCAACGAGAAATGCTAAAAAAACACCATTTTGGTGCTATCAGGAATGGGGCATTGTACGTTTTGCACACACCACCAGAGCACCAAGCACACGGTGTGCACTCGCAAAGTACGTCTCGCGCACACTAAGGCAACATGCCCCTATGCAAGAGAGTTATCAAAGCCCAACATAGCACACGTGAGGAAGTCGTTGCGTAAAGTGGGGGACCGTCGGAGCCATCTTCACTACCAGCGTAAAATGCTGCACGGACACGGCTTTACCGACCCGACCCGAGCCACTGTTCTTGAGCAGTCATTTGAGCCAATTTCCTTGCGTTTTCAATGTTTTGACATGCTCATGGCTTGTTCTTCGTTTTATGCAATTTATGCCATTCTATGCGTTCACATTTTGCCAGCAGTGTTATAAACTATAAACTATGCATTCCTCCTCCAGTGGGAGAGGGCTTAAATAAATTAAAATGTATTCCAGACGTGGAGGTCGGTTTTCATGATTTGACATTAATGCCTCACCAGGGCATGGGAGGTCAGCCGGACGCGAGACGCACTCTAACGTAGGAGAGGACAAGGATGCACGGTGTACACGAGTGGGCGCAAGACGTACTCTGGGTGGGGGGGGGGGGGGTGCTCAAGGCGAACAATGCCCCAGGAATGTGCATGATATTGATAATCAAAACTATACTAATCCTCAAGAATTTGCTCAAAATTAGGGGGGGGGGGGGGCGTTATGCTAAAAAAAATATTAAAAAGCATTTCATAGTTTTGGCTTTTTTTAGTGTAGTTACAGATCACTTAGAGATCCATCCAAGAAACAGGTTTTCACTGAAAGCAACTGCTGTATGAGGGAGCTGCAGGTGAATAGGTAATTTATGCTTTTGCAAACTGAATGTTCATAGACATCAGCCAAGTATTATTTGATCATCATCTCATTCTTCCTGATGAATGCTCATTGTTGGATTTGTCTTTTTCAGTTCCAATGACTGTATATTTATGGCGCTAGCTTGTGGCATTTAAAAAAATTCACCCCTAATAATTGTAGGCTATTCTTGTGCTAGCTGGTCATAATGCAGATATTTGTGAAGAATATGAAGCTGGGAGATGGAGAATCCATACCAAAATGGTCCATAATTGAATTGCAAGGTGACTTGGAGGCATGTGACTCAGATGGACTTGCTGGAAAATTTATTGGGGATCTGCATTTTACGAAGGATAATATCCCCATTTTGGTGATTGGACACCATATCCTTCATGGGAAAGTGGAGAAAGTGGATCCTCCTTTAGCTGTGGTAAAAAAACTGCCTAGTTCATCTTCAAGTGGAAATTTGAACTCAAAAAATGAAGAAAGAGAAGATCATCCAGCCTATGTTGTTCAGGGACTTGTGACACGGAAGCTGTTCTTCAAAGGGAGACCAAGGCCCATCATTACAAATGTCCCAAAGCAAGTTTGAGTTCACTGACTTGCATTGACCCGATTGATCTTTATAACACTTTGTTAGCCGCTTATTTACTCCTGTGGATCATGATGATGACTCAAGGAGATTCAATAACATGGGTACTGATTTTTTTGGTGATAAAGCCATTTTTGCATACCAAAATAGAAAAACTGTCCAGATTATATCCTTGGCTTGTGCTTCCTTTCCCTACAGCTATTGGACCCTTCCAGGCTCATCATCTCGATGGAGTTGGTGTCCTTGAACCATGTTCTATGCATCATACAGGGCTATAATTAGCTGTGTCATGATCACATATCTGCTTGAGATGGTACCTTGAGTAGCAGGAAGCTTCCATTGCTCAAATGGGAATATTCTGGTTTTGCTTTAGAGATGAGTTTTTGAGCTCATCATGTGAAATGGAAGACATTGAGTGATATGAACCAAATAGGCATGATGTAAATTGAACTGATTTCATTAATCTTATTCAAGCCTTGAACCAGTCAAATGCTGGATCGTGTCTTGCCTGGCTGCATTAACCCTTCAAGCAGTTTTCATGTACACTGTATGTTCATTGCTTAGGTCAGGTCAAAACTCATTGCTTGAAGGGTTTAGCTGATGTGAGCTTACACTCATCAGCATCCTATTGGAACAATAGGGACTTCTTATTGCATACAAGCTCAATTGTCAATACAAGATTTGCATTCAGTTTGAACTGGACTGAACACCAATTTTCTTCCTAGCCCTAACTTCGATGTTAATTATACATCCCTGTGACATTTGTTTGAAGCATTACTCTTTCATGCTGTCTTGAGTGTTATTAGCTGCTTCAATATGTCTAAATCTGTATTAGTTGTGCTCTCACAAGTGAATGCACTGACTGTCACTTCTTTACAATTTTTCTTTTAATTTGTCTTATGACTGACACATGATTTGCAGTACCACATAATTAATGGTTCCAGTTCTTAGCATCTCATAAATAATTCCATTCTGGTTCTTCAGGTTGATCCTCCACAAATACCTCATCTTTGCAGTCATGTTAGTTGTGATCCCAAGTGATGTTACTTCTAAGCAAAAATTATATAAAGTGTGCTACTATAACAGGGTTGGTTGGGGAGATACTAGACAGCATGTATCTGATGAAGTTGCCCTGGAAACTACAGGGTGTCCCACTTGAAAGTAGCCCGACAAGTCATTCTGTTCTGTTTCCTTTTGGAGGCTGTCTTTCTCTGTAGCTGTGATAGTTTGTTGTGTTGGAAAGGCTTAAAGACTCGTGTGGTGTCAGGTTGAGTGGTAGGGCTTAATTGAGCTGCAAAAGCTTCCAGAACAGTACATGTTTATGTTTCTTGAGGAGCAGTAAGTGGATGGATAAGAGATGGGTCAAGAAAACAGCTTTCAACTTCATTCTGCAACCAGTGTGACATGGTATCTGTGTCTGTCAGTTCTTGAACAACAAGGGTTGCCACTTTTGAATTTAACAAATGGATAAATATTCAAAATATACCCAGAGCCACCTTAAGCCAACACACCAATTGATACTGAATGTGGCCTACTGCTTTTGACTTATGGAAAATAACGATATTGGCCGCTATTAAGCTTTATTGAGTGAAAAAATCTAGAAAAAATGTTTCAAATATGGACAAAACAGTGTCCATATTAAGACCAGTTTGTAATATGGACATTGCATCTGAAATGTGTACTGTCCATACTAATTATGAATGGGTGGCAACCCCATGCACAACAGTGATTTTGTAGGCAGTCATTTTTAAGCCTTTCAAAATTGTGTGGCATATCACCATTGAAACCCTGGACTGTTGAGACAATTGTATTGACTTAAGTGGTCTGTCCTCAATTCATCTTTGGATGTCACATACAGATTCCTCATTTTGCACAGTTGGAATGCAGCTTGGTATCTCATCTCCTACGGAACCTGTTTCCTGCCACTTCACCATTAACTTCTGTATGGCACTTTCACATATGCTTGTCCAACTCATCATTCTCTATCCCTTTTGTAGTTGGCATGGATCACAATATCCTTTTTCCCTCCATTTATCTCAAAAATACGACATTCAATTCTCACAAAAAACGTTCATGACCTGGTTTCTACCGCAGCAGTGAAGAAAGCCTTGGGTCTGGCATGTCAACATAATATGACAGGACAACCTGCACATGTGGTCCAAAACCGCTATCACAATGTCTTGTGGAAGAAGGCAAACATGCCACCACCCACAGACAAATATTCTGGCTGAAGTGACAATATTTTTGTAATACCCAATGAAGGAGTGAGAAAACCTTCTTTCCCTTGATCTCTGTGTTCCAAATAGATAGTCTTCTGCATTATGGTTAATGTCACAAAGCAAAAATTTAAAAATTACTGAACTGAAAGTGGAACATTTTAAAATTATTTTTTCGTAGGACTAGACCAAATTCCTCAATTACCTGATCTTTGTTATTACCTTCTGAAAAATCATGCATTGTGGGGTTAATGTTGACTTGATTGTGTGCAGCCATATACAGAAACTAATATTTCTTCAATCTTTGACATTTCTGAAATATTTACTATCACAGTTGTTTTCATTTTCAAAGCCAATTTTCAGGCGCTTTCTTTAATGTTGGTCCTCCCTAAAGAAAATATTTTACCCAAAATTCATCATCTTAGTTCTGACTACTAAACTGTGACTGCATTCAAACTGTAGTTTTGCATCAAAACCCAAGACACCAAACAATAAAAAATTAATACCTCTTTAATAAAGCAATTTACAAAATCCTGTGCTCATATACAAAATTAGTAAGTGAATAAAAAATTTAAACTTTCTTTAGTCAATAGAACATGTTTAAAAAGAAAATATTCTGACACTAGACTGGCTCTGTAAACTCTTTTCATCCTGCAATGTTGCCTATCACCTGGTGCCAAATATTCATATACACACATAAAAAAAGTTTTCCACCACCCCCATATCTCTACAGTGTGTGCAACATGTTTTTGTTGTGATATTTTTGGTTCTAACTTTGCTGCATTTCGTCCAAATTTTATCAAACATAACAAACACATATGGCAACAATATACTATAAGGATGTTTCAAAATGTCCACCTTCAGCTGAGATACAGACATTTTAAATGCTTTGGAAAGTTGTCCACAATGTTCCACTGTTCGACCTTAATGTCGTCCCAAGTCTTAAGAAAACCCTTCTTAAGAACATGTTGTGCACCATGTAGAGATCTGGAGGTGGTGCAAAACTTTTTTTGATGCATGTATGAACATGAGACAATATATTAATAGGATATGCAAAGCCATAAGAATGCCACAGACAACTGCTGAAAATTTATGTAAAATTGTGCACAAGTGTCGGCAAAGGGTATTTCCAGAACCTGTGAAGGTGAAAATGAAATATTGCAGAACCATCTTAAGGGGATCTTTTACTATACTTTACAGTAAAATTATATTTATTTGACAGTAAAGTATGATAAGATCTGAGAATTCACACTTTTACTTTCAGACTTGTTCCCCCTCCCCCCCTTGAGTGGACTGAAATGCAGCATTCAGGGTGTTCCTGAATTAAAGCATCTTCTGTGGAACAGTAAATGAAATTTACACCACTAGTTAGTGATATAAACATGGGGCTGTTGCCTTAAAGTAGCAATTTTCTTGCTGACAAGGATGGATGATCAATCATTATACAAGTGAAATGATTATACAGTCCTTTTCTGAATGACAGATGCTCTACTAGAATGTCAGAGAAAGGAATTCTCATGCAAGAATAATGGCAAAAACCAAAGTCTTCATTTCAAACTTCAACAATATCAAGTGTGCATGAAGAAAAAAAAAGCAATATTTCTTGAGCTTATAAGGGCATATCCTTCCTTGGTATATTTGTATCAAGCAAATTCATGCATACCTTAAGAATGTTGCATTTCTGTGCATGATTCTGAACTCTCATGTATGCTTCTTTCCAAAAGTAGTATTCCCCAGGGGTATTTCCAGAATGAAGCCCAAACAAAAAATTGAGACTCAAATTTCCCCAGCGTCATACTGGCTTATACTGGCACAACACAAGAGACACAAATGGAGCAAACATATATATCAAACACCATTATGCCAGAATGGGAAAAGGCACCAGGACACAAACCAGCTAGGGTCTAACTGCAGCACACAATATGCTTATAAGGATGATCAACCAGTATGCATTGCTCTCAATTGTTTGAAACTTTAACATGAATTGAAGCATTCTTATGACCCTGGGTAACTTTTCTTCTTCAGAGAATAATTTATGCAAAGATAAACATGGATGCATTGTGGTATGGCACCTGTGAGAACAGAAAGGTCACCAAGTCACCAAGAACTGCTTCTTACAAAATATTTTATTCTAAAGAACTTTATGAAAGCTTTAGCAAGCTATTAAGATATAGCTTTGGATCACAGGATAAACTTAGCATTCAATCTCATACTACTGGGTTAGTAGGTGCCTCTATCAGCTTTTAAGAATCTCATGAACGATATCATGGTCTGTTGCTGTAATATCTAATTTCAGCATATCAAGGTGCAAAAAAGCCAAACCTCACATGTAATGTGGTTCCTGATTTACCAGCTATTAATGATGCCAGGATAGATGAACTTACTGAGACCTGAACTCAAAGTCTTTTAATTTAAAGATTATAAATGCAATATGAGGGATGAAATCACAAATTCACAACCAATCCTCCTTAGAAATTTGCATTTCCCTTGTCAACAAATAGAGCACCTTTTCAATGGAAAGAAATGAGCATAAATATTCTTTAAGCCATTTTGAGCACATGGATACAGGAATGAAGGTACAAGTGAGATGAGATCCCTTGTATCAGAGGAACTCATAAACAAAATCCTCCATCTCATCATCGACACCCTCAAAGAGCTTGTTCAGGCACTTGTTTGAAGTGCTGTAGTGCAGATATGGGTTGCAGGGATCCAGGAGTTCCAAGCAGAGCCAACAGAAAAAGTTACCACACTTGAAACAGGACATCTTGTTACAACCTCCATTTTTCTGCATAAAGGAAACATCAAATCAGAGACAGATATTGACTACTCATGAGTGAAGATACAAACTTAGCTCAGCAATAATTATTGAAACCATTAATGATCCAGCCCTGTTCATTAGCTGGACATCTCTCAATTTTCAGTCACTTCTTTGAACAAACCAATTATAAGACAAACTCAACCATGACTATTTCTTAACCAGTTGTCCTTGTTAAATGTGAATCCAGCATGTAGTGCATCTGTTCGAATTGCAGGTTGTCGGATCTATGTGGCACTGGCATAATGAGGGTGAGAAGTGGGAAACATCAATCAAATCAGCCACCCCCAAACCCAAGGGCAACTCTGCTCCTTTTTTGAGGGGGGAAGGAGATCAATGAATGTATGAGGAATGGTAATTTTAGAATTTTGGGAAGTCAAGGGTTGAAAGGAGAGGATGCTCCATCACTGGTTTCCTTCTTCACTCCCCCTCCATTAATCATACAGTTTTCCCTTTGGTCCTAGTGCTGCCTGACACACTAATGTCTTCCTTTGCTTATCTCTCTTGACCAGCAATTCAAACTGATGCACTATACCAACATTGAGTCTCCCTCAGCCCAATACCTAAAGATGCAAGTCTACAATTTGCAAATAAGTTTGTTTTTTAATAAAATATCCCAAAAATCTTGGCCTTTATCTTGTCCAGATGCATCTACGAGGGTCACTCGGAAAGTAATGCACAATAATTTATTTAATGAAATGTATGTAAGCTAGGATCAATTTAAGATTTTCCACATAAATGGTGACCTTTCCTGCCAAAAATGTGCAAATTTGAGAAATAAGCGCAGGGGGGCTGCAGCAGTAGACACGTTCAAAATGGCTGCCACACTACAGGTACGTGAGAAGCAGAGAGCTGCAATTGAATGCCTTTTTTGGGAGGGAGTAAAGCCTGCAGATATCCACTGCCGCCTGAGAGCTTTTTATGGTGATGCCTGCGTTGATGATAGCACTGTCAGAGGATGGGCGAGTTGCGTTAAATCTGGAAAGACAAGCATTGAAGACAAGGCGCGCTCAGGACATCCCATCACTGCCACCACTGACGAGAACATCAGGAAAGTGGAAGAATTGATCCAAAATGATAGGCATATCACCACTCGGGTGCTTTGCGAATTGGTGGAAATTAGTCAAGGCACTCTGCAGAGCATCCTCTACATCCTTGGTTATTCCAAAGTGTGTTGCTGGTGGGTGTCACAGATGCTGACAGTTGAGCACAAAGCTGAATGGAAAACCATTTGCACCGATCTTCTTGCTCGTCATGAAGCCGAGGGAGACATTTTTCTCAGTCGTATCGTCACGGGTGATGAAGTGTGGGTTCATCACTATGACCCTGAGACGAAACGCCAATCCATGGAATGGCACCACAAAAACTCACCCGTCAAAAAGAGGTTCAAAGTGCAGAAGTCAGCCGGCAAGGTCATGGCGACCATATTCTGGGGCATCGAAGGCTCCATCTTGGTGGATTTTATGGAGAAGGGTACCACAATAAACTCCCAGCAGTACAGTGACACTTTGAAAAGCTCCATGTGCGTATGAAGAAGGCACAACCCAACAAAGACATGGGTGATGTCCTGATCCAGCACGACAACGCACGTCCGCACACCAGTCGGGCCACATGTGTGACTATCGCTTCTCTTGGATGGTCAGCTTTGCCCCATCCACCTTACAGCCCAGACCTGGCACTGTCCGATTATCACCTCTTCTGACCAATGAAGGACAGCCTCAGAGGACATCACTTTGAGAATGATGAGGATGTGAAGAATGCAGTACGACAATGGCTTCATCACCAGGACAAGAGTTTCTATCGTGATGGAATTCATGCTCTTGTGAAACAGTGGGAAAAGTGTATTGCCCATAATGGTGACTATGTTGAAAAATAGGTGGTTCATTGCAAAGCCCTGACAGACATTACCTGTTAATTTCATTCATTTATCTTCAATACAGAGTGAGAAAAAAATTATTGTGCATTACTTTCCGAGCGACCCTCGTACATACTGATATTTAACTGAATAAGGACATTTTAAAAATCAGTTGTTAGATAATAAAAATGGGGACAGACACATTAGCAGGGCTGAACAGGATTATATGTTAATTTTTACTTTTTTGAAAACAAGGTTCACTAAAAAACTATTTGCTCAAGTTACATCACACACTATACAATCACTCAGTAAGATTCTTTATGAAATGAGACACATGAAACAGAGTAAATGCTACCATACTATCTGTGACTGAGATGTGATTGATAATGATTCAGTTGCTTCTTTTCCATTTGCACAATTGTACCTTCTACATTCAATACATATATCATCATAACATGAACTCTGACACAATCTACCTTGAAGGTCTGACCAACTACATAGTTCCTAATAAGTCCCCGTGTGACTTTGGTATCTTCCTGCACTGTTTGAGGATACAGACATATATCTTTTTGTTGACTCTTGGACAACCTTCAAACTTTCATGCCACTTAAAATATGATTGTCAAATGATTATTCCTGGAGTTTCAAGCACTTGCAGTGATACAAATTTTCCTTTAAAAAAAATTAAATGGGGGTACCAGCATCACTTTAACTTCTAGCTTTATTGTAATAGCTAAAGCTATCAAGATATTTCTAGACATGGGACTAAGAGTGCTAGTCATATGCAATGATGAGAAAATGTGGAAGAAGTAATTTCAAAGAACTCTGAAAGACAAAATAATGTATCCATGCTCACCTCAATATTGGCCTTGCAATTTGGGCAGGGCTTTGTGTTCTCAGAACAGTATTTCTTGAACTCAAATTGGTTGATTACTTCTGAGATCTGTCTTCGGCCATACTTCTTCAAATAATGCTCCTTCACTCCATCATTTCCTCTAATAAACTCATTGTAGATTACTCCTTTCTCTTCTGTAAGGAAATGCATTCCATGTGTAATAATAAGTACTGTACAAGAGACACTCTTTTTCCAGTGAAGGTATGTGGTGGTCTTAAACAATTAACACAAGTATAAAGACTTTTTTTTCAATGTCCAGTTGCACAACTTATTTCTGCAATGGTTCTACCAGAAGCAAGCCATCAGGCTTCATGGTTTTCATATCTCTCCAAAAGCTAAATATAATTACCCAATGTTCAACTTCTCTTAGAACATGAAGAGCCATTGGGGGGGGGACAATTTTGACTATCTATCCCTTCCTTTCCCCAAAGTTGTTTCTCCTCCTAAGCTCTTCCAAGTATAAGGATCTTGAATCTGCAGGCAAATTCCTTCATAATAGAGCCTGATGCGACCATTTACTTTGGGAGTGTAGACTTTCTATTTGCAAACTTTAGAATATAATATCTTTTCTCATTCCATTTTAATGTAATAGAATTAATTTCTCTGAACCTTGTTTAGGTTTAGCCTAACTGGTATGGTGGTTCAGCATGTCCTCCATTGACAGTCAGCCAGGCATGTTCCCCAAAATTTTAGTTGTGGAAGAAACTGATTAAACATTTGGCAGTAATTTTCTTAATTTAAATTCTCCTCAGAGTGACCTAATAATAATATATCTGAGGGTCTGATCTGATCCATATCTACAACATTAAATTAGTTGGTAGCTCTGAGGGAGTAAGAAGACTCATAATAATTCCTCAGGGATTTTGAAGAAGGGTCAGGAGAATAGTTCTCATTTACAAAAAGTAAGAAAAGGAAAGATGTGACATTGTTCTGAAGTCAAAAGATACTCAGTCTATGCACAAAAAATAAATCAGAATTGATAAGAAAAAGAAGTTGTCTGTAGTTGTCTATACAGGGTGATTCAGAATTATGTATAAACACTTTGAGTTGTTGTATCTCAAAAAGTTTATTGATTAAACACAAACCAAACATTGTTTTACATGCATTAGATATGTGGAAATGCGATGCACAGAAAAAGTTGGGTCAGATGTTCAAAATGTCCACCACTGGCAAGTTAACATCTTTCTAGAGAAATGTTTGGATTTTCACTGTGGAGGGCCAGGCCAGGGATTAATGTGTGGATGGGACTCTTCCTTCATGGGATAATCAGACATTACAGATTCAGTGGACAAACTTATCTTGAATTGTTAATGAATGATGCAGTTTCTGCAATAAGAAACATGCTTCCAGAGACAGTGGTGTACTTTCAGCAAGATGGTGCACAACCACACTTTCACATAAATGTCTGTGCTTATCTGGATACTGAATTTCCTGAAAGATGGATAGGCTGCCGGGGAAGTGCCCATTAATACCCCCCATGGTCTCCAGACCTCAGCCCTTTAGATTTCTTTGTGTGGGGATATTTCAAATACAAAGTGTACAGCTATGAACCTGAAACAGTGCAGAATTAGTGGGACATGATACAACAGGAATCACATAAAATCACAGTTGACATGTGTGCCACTATATGTCGGGCTGCTAAGAAATGATGATGTTTGCGTATGCGTGCCAGTGGTGGACATTTTGAATATCTAATCTAACTTTTTCTGTGCATCGCATTTCCACATATCTAATGCATGTAAAACAATGTTTGGTTTGTGTTTAATCAATAAACTTTTTGAGATACAACAACTCAAAGTGTTTATACATAATTTTGAATCACCCTGTATATGGTCACCTCATGGACAACCTTTACTTTGTACTCTTCTAGTTTTAGATCCAATTTCAAATTCCACAAATTTTGCTCATGCCAGTTTTTGTCTTTTAATGGATTTCCATCAAACCATGGAATTTGAGTTTTAGACCCGGAGAAAACCCCAGTAATTCCATTGTCTTTGAAACATTGTCCCTTTAAAAATTTTATTTTGTACAATCACATCATTCAACCTTAAGCAGGGCAAGATCCATGAGTTTTCCTGATCACCAAGATGAAATTGATGGCAAAGTCAATGAAGGTGGGACTGGAGAGGAGGAGGGAGTATAAAAAAAAGAATTATCTACCTAATTGCAGTAACAAGAGAAGCTATCCTTCACCCAGCATTGTGAACTGTAGACAGTTAAAAACAGATGTATGTGGGATAGAAGAGTGAAGTTGAACTGACTTGTGGCCCTCCATAAATCAACTCCAGATATAATCTATATCATGAACCAAGAATGCTCCTTAGTGATTAGTGTGTAAGCAGAACAGCCAACCAATGATGATTATACTTGATTGAATGGCATAAGATCCAGTAGAAGCTATATAATAAATGGCAGCCCATGAGGTTTTAAAGCAAAATGGGAAAATAAACATATTTCCACCATTTTCACCTTAAATGTACCATTGTCAAGGAGAGACCTAACGTATGACTAGACTCAAGAATATTTCAGTATCTAATCATAAAAGAGAAAAACGACACAAGTACTTACCTTCAGTCAATGCACAGGGCATCACTCCATGGTAAGCTCGCTTACAGTGCTTGCAGAAAGCAAAGGAACATGATGGGCAGAGGCCAATAGTAGATTCATCATCCAGAAGAACAGGAGTAAGGCAGAATGTCCTTGGACAATATGTGACATCCTTCATTAGATCCAATGAAGTTGAAAGGAGGAGGCGATCATACCTCACAAATAGATCTGCTGACACTAAGTCCTTCACCTGCATGCACATAAAACCCAGAAAAAGGAAGACTAACTAAAATTATCAATGACACAAAATTCATTCATCTGAGAAACTGTCTGTCACTTCCCACAACTACTATGTGGTGGTCCCTCAAGAGCCAAGAGTTGAAGAAATGGTACTTTAAATTATCTTGCTATGATAACATATCATGAGCTATGCAGGACTTCCACCAGAAGTCTAGACCATAAGCCTATCCATGCAACTTTTGGCAGTGGCTAGTGAAACCTTAGTAGCTGGGACCACTGAGGATTTCAGAGTGAAACTTCTATATCCATCAAAGGCAAAGGAAAACCCACAAGGAAGTCATGGACTTATACCTGAAAAACCTTGAAAATTGTTTGCAAAAAAAATGCAGTCATGCATGCACTTTTAGCAAATAATTTGCCTACCTCTAAATAGCATGCAGTCACTTTCCTTTTAATCCTTCTAATATTGATGACTGCAAGTACTGGCAATGACCTGGTTTAGTGGCATTGGATTAATTTCCTCTCCAACTTCAATTAGCCCACCTTATATAGGCATATCCGGGAATTCTACAAATAGTTGTTGTTAGCAGGGGTATGGTGGTTTCATTTTAAAATATTACACTCTCAGGTTGAACAATTCATCATAATATTACCTGGAAATGAATTGCTAGGCACAAAATTTTCTTGCACTACAGGGATAATGGAAATGAACCCAATGAGGGGTTCCCATTTCCAATGCAGGATAATTGCCTTTACATGTACTTACTCACAAGTACAACAATCCCAAAAAATCAACATCTGAACTCAGTGTACCCTCAGTGATTATTGTGAAGCTATTGAAAGGCAAAGCAACCAGATAGACCATGTGCTGATCAAGCTGAATTGAGATGACAAGCCTGAAAACATATCTCACCTGAGATGGAAGAGCGTAGGAAGTGCACTTTTCTTCTGGACATTGGAGACGATTCACACTACCTTCTTTGATCAGGACAGAAAAATACTGACCAATGCAGTCATTGCAAAATATATGACGACAAGGATGAAAGCACATGCATTCCCTTCCCTCCTTTACCACAAAGCACACATTGCACATCTGCACAGATTCTTCAAAGGCAAGCAATCGCCGCTTTTCATCATAGGCAAGAAGATGATCAAGCAAACTCGAACCAGGTGGTATCTCCTGCACAGCTCGAGAATCAAGTGACAAAAGCTCATCCTTTTTTGAATGCCTAAGACCTTGCACAAGGGAGGAGAGGTCAAGCTTCTCCTCAATGCCAAGCACATGGAGTAAGTCAGATTGCAAGAAATTGATCCACTGGAAAAGCACAACTTCTCCTTTCTGTGATGACCAGGTCATGTCAAATTTCTCACAAACCCTAGATAGCTGTGAATGAAAATATAAAACCCTTTTTCAAGTCAAAAACCTCTGCCATTTTAGTCACACTCATCAGACATATAATGACTTACCTGCTTCCGGGTGAGCCAAATACAAGAGATGGTGTATAATGGAGGCTCTGTACTGGGATACTTCAATGGCAATCTGAAATCTAACCTCACAGGAGGTAAGTACTTGATATCACAGGTCATGCAATCCACTTCTTCACCTAAAATGTGAAGTAACAGCTCCATTCAAAAGATTGTACCTGTCTTGCTAATGAAGAGAGATCATAAAAAAGTCCACCTTATAGAGTAGTAGGAATCATTTTTTAATTTCCTTTCAAAATTCTCTTGGTAGGTCCTGGGCTGAATTTGGAAGAACCTACACCAAACCAAATATGAGGATTACTGCTTCTTACCTTCTTGTTTATCACTGGAAGAAGGATTCTTGGGTGGCTGCGATGCAGAAGCAACAGCTGTTGACAGTAACTTGAATGATTGTGGGACTTCAATTATTACATTACAATGTCCAATGTAGGTTCCACTCTCCTCTGTTATAACAAAGTCATCTTCATATATGCTGCTCAGTGCTAACACTTCGTCTTTCCTTGACTGTAAATCTTCATCAAATATTTTGGCATCCATGGTGCCTACATTGAAAGCAGCACATATAGCTATTTGCCACTTGTTTGACCTATTAGAAGCAGAAGAAAGAGGGAGAGGATAATGTTCAATGGCTTCTTTGATGTCAACCATTATACAGAACTGAAACAGAAAACTCAAAGAAAGCCCTGTTTTGGCTTAACTGGAATTCACAAAAGATATATAGTCTGTTTTCACTATCAGGTGTTCTGTCTGATGACCATACTTTATCAGTGACTAATGATTGAGTGACACCTAACTATTTGAAGAGAGGTGTGGGGGTGGTCTTGACCAGGCTTTCATGCAGAGGGAACTCACAACTTTTTCCTATATTTATCAAATGCTATACCACTTTTGAACAGGAAGAATCAGCATTGTTTCCTTCATTTCCCAAATCTAACAGCTTTTTTTAAATGTAAAATTACTTGTACTTTCCCAGTTCATGCTGAGAATCTTCTGCTTCATTGAACCAGGCAGTATTTCAATTGTGAACACTTATGTTGAACATAACTCTCTACCTGACAAGATAAGCTGGCAATTATGGCTCTTCAGTAGAAAGTGGCAACCAGATTGCTCAAGATTACTGATCCATGTGCCTCACTCATCACTATTACTCCCTGGTTTAAAATTCCAGCAATACTTTCCAGCTGGACCCCACTATAAATTAAGATCCTATTCCAGATGAAAGAATCTAATATCAAGCCAGGGTTCTTCAGAAAGAAAGGACACAGCCTCAATCTAGCCTAGGCATATTATTAAATTTGATAAGTTTAACATATATGTTAATCATATGAGGGCTTCACCTTCACTCTGGTCCCATAACGAGGGAAGTGAGCTGATTCTTATGCATGATAAATCCATAAAAATGGAATCTACCTTATATGGAACACATCGACTCCTGCCTAGTTACAAGGCTATGCTTTGTAACAAGGACATCTGAGCCCCTGGAAGGATTGAGACACTTGAGGATCATCTTTCATAATCTCAAAAGTATGAGGAATCAAAAATATATCCGCAAAAGAATATTCTGAGTGCTCTCTTCCTCAATCTACGAGTCAATGTTATATTCCAAGTTATGGAAGGTCGATTGCAATGATTTAGGGTTTTTCACTCGAGTAAGACATTTTTTCAGTTGGCTTCAGCACTCGTGGATTAGAAACATCCCATGCACGAGCATCAGAATCAAGTGAAAATTATCTGGCTGAAGTGAAAGACCGTATACTACTGAAAAAGGAATTTAAAAAAAAAACACGTGTGACAGCGCGCCGCCATGCTTTCCATAGATGTATGCGGTGTAGAGCGAACAGATGACGAAGACACTGCCATGGCGGCGCCGAGCCTAGCCGAATCCTAGTACTGTGAATAAGTGCGAAAAAAGTTTGCTATTTCCAGACGTTCTCGTCGACCGTACCATATAGATTCGCTGAGAGGATGGGGAGGAAGGGCAGTTCCACGCCATTAAGCATGCGCCTCTATCCTTCGTTCCCTGACAGACCCGCTGTCGCCACGATTCCTATTCCCCTGATGTAATATGACGCCAGTCTAAAAGGTTAGGAGCAAATACAAGGCATGAGCACCTTGGTTGGGCCAGGGAGTAGCGAAATGATGGCACCAGTAAGGTAACCTTTCATAGAAACTAGGCCCATGATATTGAGGGCATAACGTTTCCAGGCTTGGGTTGGAGATATGGAGAAGCAATTATACCCCATTGACATCTCAAGTTGAGGTCGAGCGCTTATTCCATCCCTTCTTACCCAATATAGGCCTACCCCTCTGCAATTAATGATTTCAGTGTGAGTGTGCCTATTGATGCCTACTACCTAAATAGGTATACTTGTATTCCTTGGACAATGCACAAAAATGCATTGTCCATGAATGCTATAAACCTTTTCTAAAAGGTATCCACAGAAGAGGTATCTATTACATCTTGACCACACACATTTTGCATATTTTTTTACATTTAATAAACAGATTCCATGAGTCAAGATTTTTTGATGTTCTGATACTCATTTATGGCACTTCTGTGCATGAGTGTGAGCAAAATGAAAGACATTAAAAATGTTATCCCTGCACACAAGACTTAGACTTTCACAACTTGAATTAATCCTTGCTGATATGTGATATGTGTTCTGCAGTTCTCAAAAAGCTAGAAGAGAAAACCTATTAATCTCTCCAGTGTCTCAATGGGTGTAAATGCAGCTGGATGCAAGTATCTGTACCTCTTGTATCACTTATTTCGGAAGAATAACCCTCTCTTGCATCAACTCCCTTTTCTTTCCAGGTCTTCTAAGATGAACATAATGGTTATAATGGGGCCTTGGAATGCTTACATTGTGTGCTTAAGTTTTACAATGTATGTTGTAGTGGCTTTAAAAATCCTTTAAGTTTAGCTACTTCTCATTTGATAAAAATCAAATGAGAAGTAGCTAAACTTAAAGGTGAGGGCAAAGGTGAGGGACTTTTAATGCAGGCCCACTCTAGTCAACATATATATTTTACTTGCTGATTGTATTTACTTAAATAACAGTTTGTTAAACCATTAGTCTAGAAACTGAAAGGCTCTCTAAACTCTCATCCCTTCTACATGTATTGTGGAGAAACCTGTTTTCAAAACAAATTTATTGATTTTTACCCATGAGATCTTTAACTTAGTCATTATTGTAACCAAGACCCATATTTGGTCTCAAGACCAAGATGAAAAATGCAGCTCCTAAAAGCTTAAGTTCCCTAGCAAGCAAGTTCTCCTTGAGAAATTCTACAACTTAATCCTGCTCCATGATTATCATCAGATTGCCAGTGGGTCTGACTATTCCCGCACTTTTTCTTATTCCCCTTAACACTGTGGACAGGTCATGTAGTCCATCCTGATTGTCCATGCAAGTGTTGCATACAGATAATGGAGGACTATATTTTTGTGCATAATCTTATTAGCGTGCATGCTATTGCTCTCTGGTGCATTTTTATGAAGCAAGATTGTGTGCCTCTGCTTTTTCAAGTAATGTGGTTATTTGTATTTAATATATTGTAAAATACCTGGGAACTGGAGTATTTTTCCATAGAAACTTTCTGGTCCTGAATATATTTACCTTTTCTGGTCCATTGTCCCACTGAGTGGGGTATTAGTCAGTGTCCAAAAAAAATGGACTGCAAAGGGTTAAAAGTTAAGAGAGTATTAACTAGTTTCCAGTTCTTAGGAACTTGCCATGCATCATGTAACTAAAAAAATGACTTTTAATAGCATTGCAACCTCCATATGTTTTTATCCTATCCTCAGCATACTGACATTGTTGAAGGGAGGAGACCCAACAGTCATCAGTCTTTCTCTTTGGCATATAGCAAAACAGCATCCTATTCTCTGAATGAGTTAAATCTGGGTCAATGCAGAGTATCAAAATGGCCTCAAACAGTGAACATTCTCCAACATTTTCTCCACTGTCCACTCTAATTTGTAGGCCAACTGCATCTTCTGCCTTGCACAATTAGAGGATATTACAATTCACCCTAGACAGTACCTCAAAAACTATAGTCAAAACATGTCAGGAATTCCATCTGAAATTCTTGTATTTACTGGAATTACAAGTTTTCCAAGAAATCCTGGTCCTCATAAAGGAGTTACCTGTTTTAGTTTTAAACCAGCCATAGCATAAATAGGTTCTCCAAACTTAACCTTTCACCTACCCAGTCTACCCTCTCCCCTCCTTTCTGAGAACATTAGATTTCCTATTGAGTAACCTTAAATTTCTCCTTTTCCCAGTTTTATTTTCTTAACATGCATGGGTTTCATGACCCTTTTAAGGAAGACAATTCCTCTTTGTGTTGAAGCTGCTGTCTCACTCCTGATTGGATACCCCAAATAAATGCATTTGTTGTTTTTTTACCTACTATATTGCCAGCTGCTGGTATAATCCCCAGTGTGATTAATAAAAATTAAAAGTGTAACCATTCAGGGATTCTATCCTGGTGTAAGAGAGTAGTCTATTACTTCACAGCATTTTCCTCTTTTACATTTTGGAAGGACCACAGCATTGACAACACAAGACGTAGGCTTATGGGATGTTAATACGATGAACACAGAGTGTGCACTCAGATTGTAGCTGTTTTGTAGAGTTGGACTCCTGTAACCAGCTTACCAAGTACTACAGAAATTCCATCACTTGTGGCCAGTGATACATTTGCAGTCATGTATGGCACATGCTTTCTGGTACTTCACAATTTTATGCAGGCTATGTTGATAGCTTAAAATGAATGCTACATTCATTTCCCCATTCCATTTTTTTTTTCATGGCAGATATGATCATTGTTATTGCTGTCATCCATAGGTCTAGTGATCACCTTGAGGCATGCCTAACATGACTCAGGCCTATATCTAAGACTAGGACAAAGTTATGCCAACGTGTACCTAACACTATTACTTGTGAAATTCTTCAGAGAACTGAGGTAAATAAAGGTCTAAGGCATACCATACCATACACACAATCAAGGACAATATGCCCCCAAAATTAAATGTTGAAGAGCTGAGAAAAAAGGTAGAAGATGACTCATTGGACTTGAGCCTGCTGCAACTGGAAGAGATCCCTGTGAAGGAAATAGTAAGTCTTTGTCTTCCTCCTAAGTTAAGACTTGAGTGGATCTCCTCATTGGCCTCATGCATCAAAGACATGATTTTTCCATCCAAGGACCAAATGAAAGCAAGAAGTCAGCATCTTATTTTTATTTTTTTTTTAAATACAGTTTTCATATAAATTTACAGTACTTCATAAGGCATTAACAAAGACAGTTGGCTTTTGCTGCCTCGGTCTTTGTTAGCTTGTCAACTTCTGCCAATTTCCCCCTCATTTTCTATGATGCTATAAGGCCACCTTGTCTTGTTTGATCTTTAGTTGCCTTTCAGGTCCTGATTCTTTTCATTTTTGGTGGGTGTTATTTTTCATTCATAATTTTGAAAATTACTTGTTTTCACTTCAGAACCTGACCTTCCCACAGTGCTCTGTATCTAACCATTAGGAAGCAGACATGAGAGAACTGTCTCCTATACCTTTCCAAGATGAGAGGAGTTGCTTTCTGTTGTGGTTTATTATTGGGCAATCACAATTTGTTGAACAAAACAGCTCCATTCGTGCATTTGAAAGTTCAAATACTTAACCCTACCACAATGCAAATTTCATGAACCATAAGAAAAACTACGCACTATTCTGTAGGGTTCCCTGGATTTTTTTTTATGTTCTCTATGGTAAGCACTGTATGTTCAGCACACAGCCCATCCTTACCAATGATATAGGTTAACCTTCAAAATATGAGAAAGTTCACCCTTTTGTCTGGTTCTTTTCAGCACTTTAAATTCACTCTAATTCTAAAATCCTATCTATCTTTCCTATCTAATCCCTTTTCTCCCTAATGTCACAAACTCTCAGGTTATCTGTTGCCCTCCTGTGTAATGTCCCTAAGGCCCCATCCAACTGAACATGGTCCCCAATCCCTGAGGGAGACTCAGTTCTCAGTGGATAAATATACCTAAAATGTGCTACCTGCAATCGGTCTTCACCACTTGAGTCATGTTTTGTCCCTCAACCAAATAGAAGGGCTTGGTGCTTGGGAGGTTTTCTCTTTTAAGGTATAAAGGGACTTACAATTATAGTCCATCTGTTCAAATTGCGGGTCGAGAGAGATAAGCAAAGGAAGATATTTGCATGTCAGGTGGCACCAGGACCAAAGGGGAAACTCTGATTAATGATTATTATTATGATTAATGAGAGGAGAGGGGGAGTGAAGAAGGAAACCAGTGGTGGAGCTTCCTCTACTCCCCAAAAGTCTAAAAAATAAATTTCCTCATACATTCATTGATCTCCTCCTTCCCCCCTCAACAAAGGGGCAGAGTCGCCCTTGGGCTCAGGGATGGCTGATTTGATTGACGCTTCCCACTTCTCACCCTCATTAGGCTGGTGCTGCATAGATCTGACAACCTGTGATTTGAACAGATGCACTATAAAAAAAATATTTAAAAATTGAATTCCTTGGATGGTGTTGAAGTTGAGTTTGGTGTAATGGGAACCAAGATTAAAACTGAGCAACTCCATTACTCATGCATAATGTTTAAAAAAAAAACTGGGCCAAATCCTTTTTGCTATTAATGACAGTAAATTTCATCAGATCAACTTAATTTTTTAACCACCACATCTAGATAGAGGAAGGAAAGTATATTGACACATTGTATCACATTCTATACCAGTTCAAACTTGATAGGTAAAAAAAAGTGAGCCATACAAGCCTGCTGATGCATTTGCCACAGCCACAGAACCTCCTTGGCCATTCTGTATGGCATGTACAGGCACCCACTTGCTGCACATTGAGGCAGATGCATCAGCAAGGATGTCCAGTGCATTTTCTTAACCTTCAACTTTTAAATAGTGTAACGTGACACATTGAGTCAATAGTGTTCAAATTTGACAAAAACCTTCTTTCATCTATCCACATGCAGTTTGTGAAATATTGGACTGATTAAATGAATTTTACTATCATTCCTATAAAAAACTAATTTTACACTTTTGTTTTAAACACCATGTATATTGTTTTGGTTTTTTTGGGGGGAAGGGGGTTCATGTGTATTTTAGTATTTGATAGCATATGCCCTGTCCTGCAGACTATTTTAAACATGTTCTATGTCTGGAATTTCATTATTGGTTTGTAAGATGTTGAAGAAAGCTATAATTTCCTTGCAGGCTCAGCTGAAGAAAGTTACCAAGATTGATCTCTCCAACAACAACATCTCTTCATTGCCTGTGAGTTTGTGACTTTATTAAGATGCTATGAAAGTTTTACTTGCCAATGTTTGTTGTCTAGCTTGAATCCTTTCACCCACACCTGTGTTGCAGCTTCTTCCAAATTCCAGTACTTCCTGTATAGCTTTCATTATTTTCATACCAATCCTTCCTGTAGGTAATGTTGAAGAATAAGTATATTTTCAAAATTGTTATGAAACGCTGTCCTGATGTGCTTGTTACATCTTAAACCATCTCCTTACAGCCTTCTTTATGCAGTTCCTGGAGCCACATAGTAAGACTGGATTTGAGCAAGAACAAACTTGAAGAGCTTCCTACCAATATAGGGCATCTGAAGAATCTTCAAGTGCTTGATCTCTATTGCAACAAGGTAGGCATTGTTATTGATCATTTTGTTGAGTACATTGTTATTCCTGCAAATGTTATGCACTTTAAAGTTTCACTACTCTGTTAATGATCCCCTGTTTTTGATGGTTCCAATGAGCAGATACAAGACCTTCCAGTGAGCTTCTGCCATCTTCGAAAACTCAAGTGGCTCGATTTGAAAAACAATCCATTGCGCCCGCATCTTCTTCAAGTTGCTGGTGACTGTCTTGATGAGAAAGCATGTCAGCACTGTGCCCATGATATAGTTGCATACATGCAAAAGATCAATAGTGAACGTGAGCGAGACAGGCAGTTGAAACTGAGGCATGAACGAGGTTCGTTTTTTCATCAGATGCTACATTTTCTATACCAATATTTTCTTTAAACTCTTAAATGGGGAATTCTCTAAAATAAATTCACCATGTTATGGGGAACCTTTTTCTGTGAAAGTTATCATTTGTATTTGTGTTAGAAAATTACTATTATTATTTTTTGTTTATATTCAAATTTTAAGTGCATATTTAACTTTAAAAAATTGCATGAAAATGTTAAAATCCATCTAGGTAGTATTTTGCCTTGTTGTGACAGGTACCAGGTGTCCCAAAACGATGTTACATTTTGATAAAACTTTATTTCAGAAATGGCTTTTTGCTACTGTGCCATTGAACACATGGCAAGATGTATCTTGTGAAGCTACCAGGTTGGTGGGCACCATGTAGAGAATTCACACTTCTTCTCTTAGGATTAATGCCCATTTTGATGCATGTTTGTGCTAAATGAAGTTTGTTAATAATATAGCTATAAAAGTTGTTCAAAATGTATAATCTTTTTGGGACACCTGGTATTTACGGCCTGCCCGTTCAAGGTCTTCTACCTTTGTTGGTGATTTCCATTCAGATTATAAATATCATACATGTCAGCATGCCAATGAACTCTGGTATAGTCCTTGCAATGAATGTCATCTTTTAATGTAAGCAAAAAATTTTTGCTTGTAATGGGACTTAACTAGAGGTATTTGGAGATGCTCAATTTTAACCAAAAATGTGGCTAGGTTATTGACATCAAATGCTAAAAGACAAGAATTTTGTTTCTTAATCATTCAAATAATCATTCTTGATTCCTGACCCGTATTGATGTTCATTTAAGGCATATACTTCTAAGTTATAATTAGGGCTGTACTGATATGGATATTTTGCCAAAGTGCTGATTTCGATATCTGTTCTTGAAAGATGACCAATACTGATACTGGTCTTTGTCTAACCATAAATATCACCATTTCCACAAAAGGTGTTATATTGGAAAGAAGAGATTTACATCACTTCTGGTTTGGGTCATATGTCTGAATCTATGTAACAATGCTTCGTTAGCATTTTACCCTACAACAATTGGAGAATGATGAAAACACAAAGACCATGAAAGAGCCCATGAAGCACATATGGCCAAGCGCAACCTACATCCAGAGTAGGCCCCAAAATGCTGCGCATTCCAAGGTTGGATCTAGAGGCCTAAGAATAACGTTAATGTTAGGCACTCTTCATGCAACCAAGCCTATTCAAGGTTTACGCGCAGGGTTGGACTGACGACCTAGGAGCCACCCCGGAAATTGCTGGCAAGGGCCCCCGCAATCCTTTCCCCACCCGTTAGGGGAGGGGGAAGCCAAAGGCTCTTTGGTCTGGGGGCTAGGGTTGCCACCTTTGAAATTAGCAAAATATGGACATATGGTCCGACGACATATGGAAATATGGACTAATATATGAAGTATACTTGGGTTTGTGACTCTGCTGCAAATACCATCAGCCACCTATAGCCAAAGTACCAATTGATACTCTAAGAGTGTGGCCTACTACTCTGGCTCGAAGAAAAAAGTGGTTTTAGCTGCTATTGGGTTGTAACATATATTCCCGCCGTTTTTATATTTTGTTTGTTTTCACTCCATATTTTTGAAGTTTGGCAAAGTGGATATAGTCATTCGAAAGAGCGTTCTTTCCTCTACAAACTTATTGCCACCATTTTTCCGAATAACTTAATTTTTACTTAACTTTCAGGTATTTGAAATGGAAATACCAGGCGGCAAGAAAACCCATTTTCGACACTTGCTTTATTTCGCGTTTCGCCGTAATCAAAAAGCAGCCGAAGCAGCTCGGGATATTTGTGCCGTTTACGGAGAGGGTGCTATAGCTGCGAGGACTGCTCGAGATTGGTTTGCCAAGTTCAAAAATGGCAACTTCGACCTGGACGACACGCCTCGCTCTGGGCGACCTACCGAGTTCGACGAAGACCATTTGAAGGTGCTTTTGAAGGAGGACGGTCGCCAAACATGCAGAGAATTGACCGAGAAGATGAACAGCAATGCAATGACGATATCCCGTCACCTTCNTCCACTTTGCCAAACTTCAAAAATATGGAGTGAAAACAAACAAAATATAAAAACGGCGGGAATATATGTTACAACCCAATATTAAGTTTTAACAACTAAAAAAAAAATCTTAAGTTTAAAGTATGGATGAAGTAGTGCCCATATTAAGACAAGTTTGCAGTATGGACATCGCATCTAAAATAAGAACTGTCCATACTAATTATGAATGAGTGGCAACCCTACTGGGGGTCCCTTGGGAAATTTCCCAGCATCCCGGTGGACCAATCCGACCCTGTCTACGCGTTTTTTAAAGAAAATTTCAACGACCAAGACAGGGACCAAGCAGGGGTAGGGAACCTTTTTTTTGGCCATGTGAACTATATTAAGATAGAGCAAAGGGCTTGTGAGCGAAAGATTTTCTAAACAGAATTTTTCCTGAAGTTGGCAACAGACACGTGCATTCTTTCATGCATGAGAAAAATGAGTAATTACCATGATTTTCAGCCATGACTCGATGAGCCAAACTTTTCGGCTCGTGAACCATAGGTTCCCGATCCATCTTAGGGGATTCAATGGAAATACAGCAGCCTCGCACACATGCTTCATCGTCCGCTGCCATTTAGCGGGGAAAAGTTGCGTTCATGACGGCACCTCGCTTTTGGCCACGTACTTTTAAGTTTCGAGTTCCGTTCCCCAGAGTATAATTTTAGACGCTTAGCGATTTCCTACTACTTTGGAATGCGGCGACTAGCAATCAAGGGGAAAAAAGGGACTATGCTAGCTCAACCAGGAAGAAACGTTTCTTGTAAGAGGATATTGTGAGACTTCACATGACTTGCTTACATGATATTGCAGATTTTTTTTGTTTGATTGCAACAGGAACATATAAATGCTGAAAAAGGAATTCGAACAAACATCTGAAACTGAGTAATATTTTCCAAATACTGTTGATATAGAGGAGGCAGCAGCTCGACAGGCTGAGAAGCAGGCACTGGAAGAAGCAGAACGGAAAAAGCGGAAGGAGCAGAAGATGCAGGCCAAGGCTAGGCGCAAGGCTGAGCTTGAAAGTCTCCTACAGGAGGAAAAAATGCTCCAGCAGCAGCAGGAAATGAATCATGGTAAGGCTTTAGCTTTTCCATTCCATTTTGATCAAAAGGTTATCAAGGTAGGTCTATATTTAGGTCTATTGCTACAAAAAACTGACAACTTGGAAAATGTTACCATCACTGGCTCTAGAGCTTTGTAGCAGTCCGGAGTCATGGCGGGGTGAAGCAAGCTTCTCCAAAAGTCTCTGTTCTTACTTAAAAACAACTCCAGTCACCTTTTATCGATTAGACAAATCCTCTGATCAAGAATGAATAATGTAGTCAAGATTATTAATGTCTCCATTATCACTAAGATGATGAAATGATATAGGGAAATGGGACCAGTTGCAATTGGTTTGCCTGGCTTGCTTCTTTTTGAAGTCTATTCAGGGATGATCTGCTGCAGCATGTGAGACATAAAATGTCATGCTTCAAGTATTCCAATGACCTGCTTCTCCTGCCTTGTGAGCTTTTCCAGAAGGCCTTGCAACTAAGGTGTTCAGATCTGGGGTCTTGACTTCTTTCTGCAATGAAAGATTTGCAAGGGCTGTATACAAGTTCTTGGACTTATATGATGCTCCTGATGCTCAGGGAGAAGATTTTATATTTAATTTTGTATTGATATTGATATGGTGTGACTTTGTCATTATAACAATCATTCCTTCTGATGAGAAGATTTTCATTCTGAAGGAATATGACCAAAACCCTACTGCAGCATGTCCAATGGCATCTGCTGATGTCATTCTATTTTTTTTTAATTATATTCTATGACTTACTTTGGCCTTTTTAAAAAATAAAAATTAATTAAAGGGTCTCTTGGCATTATCCATGGAAGGCCACCACAGGGAGATGGACCTGTTTCATGAAAGCTGATGCAGTCTCTTCCTTGAGGAGTCACCAGGGATGACTCATTAAAGCTTTAAGGGTCATTTCACTTCAGTTGATGGGAACCTTGTTTCTTTGAATAGCTGTCTGATGGCTTGCCTCTGGCTCATTTATTTTCACAATGCAGCTTTTTCCCTTAACTTTTGAGCTTGTGTACCAATTGCATTGGGCCTAAAGAGATCATAATTTTAATTCTCCAGACCTATCTAGTGGCATTCATAGTGTCAGTGGATGTGATAGGACACTCCCATCTTCCATAGCAAATTTATAATTTTTACAGAAATAAGGAAAACAGTAGATGAAAGGAAGTTTTGTCATATAATAAGTCCTCAGATACTAATGAATGAAAGTACAAAATTTAATTGCCCGATGTTCAGCAGTTCATCTGCTAAAGTGCTAATTTACACAAAAAGATGAAGTACAATTTCTATGGTTGTCAATTAATTATTTTGCATATGCTCGATATTTAGCCTTCATGATTTACCTCTTTTTTTAATTTCATTTAAATTAGCAAAATGTCTGATTATTACTTTTTGCTAAAGGAGTAATGTTCCATACACAGGACATTCATTCTTGGTTGAGTATTACCATAATTCATATTCATGCAATGATATCATTCACAAATAATACTATAAGGCTGAGTGGTTTTTTTTTTCCTGAAAAGGCCAGGGAACAGTGGTATTAGTATGAATTACAGTCAATAACATATTCTGTTTGAAACATGAAAGAGTTATTAGAGAATGAATGCTCTGGCTAATCTATGCTAAATAGCATTTTAATGCAACTTATACTTTTTTCAGGTGAACTGCCACAGAAGGATGTTTCATACAAACCCCCTGAAGGTGAGTATTTGCAAAGTTAATTGCTCTTATTTGCACATTTTTAACTTCTCAGTATTCATTTATTCATTTGAATTAATTAACGTTTTTTCTCTCTTCATTTAAGGCTTCACTTCAAGATACATTTTTTCAGCAGCTGAATAATATTGAATAATTTTTTTGGCTGCCTTCAGTTAATTAAATACGTTTCTTATTTCTATGCTCTTTATTTCAAGCTGCTGCCTATTGGTCAGCATTATGCACACTCCAACTTCATGTTGGTTTGCAGCACTTGTTAGGGTAGTGGTTAATAGATAATCAACTAATGTGGATTTCACACATTTTGCCATCCTGACAAAGCTTATCCTGGTAATTAATTTCATTTACTGCTTCATTTTACCGAGCAGGCATGCACTAATAGTCAAGGATATGAATTTCTCACATTGATTCTTTAGGATCGCAGAAAATATGAAAATGTCCACAAATAAGCACCTCTACTCTACCCTACTTTGTATTTTTTTAAATGTATTTACTGTAATCATGTTTCCTGGTACAGTAAGCCTTGCATACTGAATGGAAGACCATAGAACTGAGGGATAGCATGGATTTTATCTGGAGACAAAATAAATTCCTTCTCCTATTCAAGCATTTTATATTTATCCCTTCCTTTCGCTTTGCATAACCATGGAAAGAGTTAGGCATTATGCTCTCTTTGTATAAGCTATAAATGTATGAAGCTTAATTTTATTCTAATGAAACTCTCTTCTCTTTTAGTCACAAAACGACCTAGACGAAATATCTGCATTCGTTTCTTCATGTGGCTAATCTTCACTGCCATCAAGCTGGCCCTTTTCACTGGATTCATCTATGCTGGGTTCCTCCTATACTATATGGATGGAGATTACTCTCAGGAAGGTCTATTTAAAGGTCATCTACATCTGAAGCAGAATACCACCAAGTTGGTGAGGTATTTACGTCACACATGGCACACGATCGATTGGAATGAGGTGTGGGATCGGGCCCAGAAGCAAGCACGCCTGGCTGCCGTCACGCTAGGCCAATGGTCTTCGATTGCATGGACTCATGCCAAGCGATATTCAAGCATACTGCAAGAAAGGGCTGCTGAAGCATTTGACAGGCTATGGATTCTCCTCACACAGCTTAAAGAAAACATAGTTCATAAATGGATGAAGGAATCTTCCTCTTAAAGTATGCTGTGATTTGTTGAAGTGAAAAACAAATGCACTTCTTAAGCTACCATTTTCCTTTTCTCGTTTCCCAGTTATGGGTATATGTCTCATTGATCTTTTATATGTTATGTTGAGCTTGTTTCAGTGAATCATTGGGTTATTGTTTGAGGTTGGATTTGCTTTGAGCCCTTAATGTTGTCTTTTGCCTGTTCCAACCAGGTCTTTTCATTTGATTTGTTTTGAAGTTTATTGACTCTTTGATGGCATCACAGGGCCTGATTCTGGCTTGTTCCTTATGAGTCCAAATGCTCTCCTTTGGCCTGGATATAATATTTTGTTGAAAATATTGGGAAGAAAAATGTTAGGTTCTCATGATGATCCCTCCACTTTTGAGGCCACTGAAAGACCAGGATGCATAGAAAGCCAAGCACTGACACAATAACCTGTTCAAAGATCTCTTGGTGTTCACATTTGCTATGCTATGTGATCACAAGTTATGTTGCTGTGTTGAGAGAAATCCAACTTTGACTTTACAGTCAAATAAATGTGACAGTAGAAAAAAGTTTTTGGGACAGATTACTGTGGTACATGGGTCTGAGAGAGTAAAAAAAAGAAAAAAGAAAAAAAGAGAGATTCCATTTGATCTGGAAGGTCTAGTCTATGCATCAAAGGGGAAAATCTCATAGCTTCACAAAATTTCGATGTTGTATAGTCTGATAATGCATCAGTTGTAGTAATACTTCCCCTTGCAGGTGTAACTTTGTTCCTATATCCAACAATGTACTTTTCATGCTCATTCCCCACAGTTGTAGTGTTTCTCCTCCTTCCAGTGATGTAGTTATCATACTGACTTGAGAGCCCTTCAGTTGAGTTCAGCACCGATATGATTTAGTGTGTCATAGGGTAACTCAAAATTGAATCGCTCTCAAGTTCATGCCATCAAAACCGGGTGATCATTTAAACATTTTCTAATGATGCTATTTATTTCCATGCAGTTATTGACCAGTGGGCTTTTGCTCAGGAATAGAATATCGTAAAAGGGTACAAGGAGCTTCTTGTACAAAATCCTTGTACAAAATTCATGAGAAATGGTAAGCCTAATGACTCCATGGATGTTCATTTCTATGTCAAACTTTCTTTCTGTACAATACATCAATGAGGTTAGCTTTCTCTGCCCAGTGTTGTGCATAATCCCAGCCACTAATATTTCTTGAGATTAATTGCTGTCATTCGATGGGCTTCAACCGGTTATACTTTGCATTCCACGAAGGCACAAAGTCAATGTCGGTTCAGTGGTGTCGGAATCCATCCCAAATGGAATAAACTATTTATTGGTCCTCCTCCGTATTTTTTTCCTTCTTGTCGGTCAGGATGTCCTTGAACTCGGCAAACTGCAGGATTTTGCCGAGGAGCCAGTGTCCGTAGGTGAGGCCTCCCTCGGCCGACTGTCGAGCGGAAAGATGCGGATTACCGAACGGCATCCGACAGCTGACTGGAGCATCCCAGGAAGGGTCGAAGAAGAACGGCACGGAATATCTACGCCAACGAGCGACAAAAAAGCCTGCTTCAAAACGGCACTGGCAATTAAAAACGTGAACGTCGAAAAGGGCACCGCACCTGTCCTCCCCGCAGTCGACGACGCGATGGACCGTGGCCTTGAATCTCCCTCCGCTGAACCGACCGAGCATGTCCCCGATGTTGGCGACGAGCGCGTCGGGCCGCGGGGGGACGTCCAGCCATCCCTCGCCCTCCCGCCCGATCTGCAGCCCCCCGTAGTGGAAGGTGGAGAGGAGCGTGAGGAACCCGCTGTCCGTGTGTTCGCTGCACTGCAGGACTGAACCACGGCAAGGACGTAATTTAAAAAACCACTCCTGCGTTACGTATTAGAAATACTGTACAGGGTCTTTCTAGGTTAGGTCGCCATTTTGAACGATCATATCTCAGAAATGAATAGAGCTGTGAATACGAAACGAAGTGCATTTTATTACCACAGACCTGAAATTTTTTCCCATTAAATTTTTCACAGATGCTCTATGTGGTGTCCTCGCGTAACGCGGACAACGTCCCATCGGTACAAGAGTTCCTCCCACACACGAGTGAGCATGTCAGCGTTAAGCGTGGCAAACAGCTGCAACAATCCTTCGCAGTTCATCAACGGTTCGTGGTAGGGGGGGGGGCTCGTACACTCGATCTTTGATGTAGCCCCACAGGAAAAAGTCTGGCGGGGTGAAATCTGGCGACCAAGGGGCCCCATGCAATGGGACCTGCTCGACCGATCCATGCACCGGGGAAGGCCCTCACCTCCCTATGGAAATGCGGTGGAGCGTCGTCTAGATGATAGATGACACCTGCTCCAAACAGATTAACATCTTGTAGCCGAGGCACTAAAAACTGCTGGAGCATGTCTAGAAACACCACTCCAGTAATTGTCTTTTCCACAAGGAAAAAGGGTCCATAAAGCGTCCTCTCGCTCGTGGCACAGAACACGTTCACTTCGTCACCATCGCGCTCGTGTCCCACGGAGACGTGCGGGTTTTCCGTTCCCCGTATCCCGACGTTCCGCTTGTTCACCTTGCCACCGATGTTGAACGCGGCCTCGTCGCTGACAGTTTTGGCGGTTAAGTCGTCCTCCATTTCTACGCGTTGGAACGTCTCGCAGCAGAATTCATATCGCTTCATTTTGTCATCCTCTTGTTAGTGCCACGGCTGGATTTTGCACGGCTTCACCGTCTGCGCGAGAAAACGCCACGCAGTCCATTTCGAAACGCTCACTGCTCGCACGCGCAATCGACTTCTTGCGTACGTTTCCCTTACGCGTTCCGCCGTGACCTCTGCAACAGACGGCCGCCCTTGTCCTTGCCGCTGACGCACCACGCAAAGTTTGCACGCCGATTTCTGGTCGACTCAATCGAAGGAGGCGGTTTTCCATATTGCCGTCGAAAACGACGCTGCACAACCGTTTCAGACTTTGTTTCGTATTCACGGCTCTATTCATTTCAGAGACATAATTGTTAAAAATTGCAACCTAATTTAGAAAGACCCTGTATATTATATTAAGCAACATATCATTGATATTAGCATTATTAACGATTGCTCGATTTCAGTGAATCCATTCGCTTTCGCAGTTCATTCTGGAACGTCCGGCGGCACAGAATGCCAGCACTTTCGGCAATTTTCACTTGCAAAATTCGAATTTCAAACTATGAAATGTTGGATGGCCTCGGAATTTCGATATTCGTTATGGCTTTTGGTGGAAACTTCAGTCTTTCTCCCTGTCGTTATCGACTGATCCAGCAGCAGTTTTTTGTTCCACTCGATCGACACAATCTGCATTTCTCAAATTTGCTTCCAATCATGAATGCAACGTTTGCGCTGGTCGCTACAAAAGTAGGAAAACAGCTCCGTGCTTTTAAAAAAATTTTTGAGCCGGTTGCAAGATATTCCGGGTGTCCGAAACGAGCAGTCAATTTTGACATTTCCGCATGCTAAAAGCTGGAAGGACAATATTTTAAATCGATCCGATTTCGTAACAAACCCAATTGGAACGAACGATCCCTCTTAAACCGAACCCATCGAGGCGAATCGCGAAATCACACGAGCTTCAAGTCCTGAATCTTGGATTCAGTTGAAGATCGTGCAGCTTGGAATTCCCTCAATGGCGTAAGTAATCCCGAAGGAAGAGGACATCTATGGGAGCGCTATTTTCGTAACGAACAAAAAAATCACGTCCTTCCTGTTCCAGAACGCATTACTCTAAAAATGCCAAAATTCGAGTAGGTCTTTTTTTCGGAACGCCCAAGGTTAGGCGGGGGGGGGGGGGGGGGGGGGGGGGGGGGGGAGGGGGGGGGGGGGGTGGGGGGGGGGGGGGGGGGGGGGGGGGGGGAGAGTGCTACATCTTCTGGATACCTACATGCATTACCGAATGGGATGTGAACCGGGTTTATGATCATTTAGCTCGCTATACAGTTCCCCCACCGTCTCCAGGCATAAGATGGGCAAGCCCAGTCCACTAGTGGGCCTCCTTTCATGTAAGGCGACCCGCATTTTGTCACCTAATGGAACAAAGTACCATCTCTTCCCGGTCCCCGGCCATCAAAAACACCATTTTTCAGTCACGTTTGAAAATCGACCCGTGGTGGTGAAATGAAGACAGGAGGACGGGAGGCTTACGCGTGGCTGGAACCGTTCGCCACGAAGGTTCATGGGGAACTGACGGCTCTGGTTCCTGACACGACTCTGCCTCCAAGGCCTCGGTCGCATGCGCATGCGCATTGCGATCCACATCCTGAAGGGCGAACGGGTACGAGTGCCTTCCCCTCCGTGATCAAATTTCAAATAAAAAAATTTGCGATAAAAATGCTAATTTTGATGCAAATTCGCCACGAAACGAACTCGGCCCGTATCTTGTTAATATTTACCAGTTTGCCAATTTTCGCAATGGTCGAGCCAATATTCGTTATCGTCAGACCATCATAGTGTGACACGCGAACACGCGGACGGACAGGACGAGACCGTAAGTGGTCTTTTTCCTTTCAGGAAAGCAAGCCCACTAAAAACCACCCTCCACGAAGAAAGAGACACTTACCATAATCCCCATCGACTGCAGCAGGACACGCAGGCTCATCCCGTCGCGGATACCTCAAGAGGCGAAGAACGGATATGGACCCTCCTCCAGACCGGTCCCCTCCTGCAGACCGATCCCCTCCTCCAGACCGGTCCCCTCCGTCCGCCGCGAAGATCGGGCGGAACCAGTCCGGGTCGATCCCCGCCGCCTCCGCTGTGAGTCTCAGCAGCTCCTCCCCCACCCTCGTCATCGCCTCCACGTACCATTCCAGATAGGCCCTGAATCCCCTGCATTCCTCTTCCTTTCCCTCCGCCTCGATCCACGGATTCTTCGAAGAACATCCCCACCGCCCCCATTTCCTTCTCCGCGGGCGCCTGCAGCTCGTTCCCCACTTCGTAGCCTGCAAGGGGAATCGTGCACGCGCCGATTGGGAACGGGTCCGCGTCCGAAGTAAATCGTACGCTCGAGTTGCTACGTTTTCTGCCGGATGCGGAAGAAAATGTCAGAAATTACCTCTTGCGGACACGGAGTATAAATGTCGTCAGGTACTGGTACGTCTTTTTACTCTTTACATTCATTCTTGGCTCGAGAGTGCTGGCTGGCAAACAGATGACAAAAAAAAATAAGTACGAACTGCAAAAAAAAAAAAAAGCCAAGAACATCTGCACCGAAGAGCATCGAACCGCGCTTTTCCGTCTTTTCCTGTCGGTTTTTTTTTTTCCCTCGACTTTTTTTCCCAGCTTTTCATCCGTCTTCAAGCCCGAAACGAACCGAGGAAAGAAGGTCCAGAAATTCCGCACAACCGCAAATAAATATTTAAAAAATGGCGCAAATAAATCAGCACCCGCCCTGAATCGTTTCCATCGTCCTTCGTACTTTTGATGAGCTCATTATGAGCTCATTATCGCTATTCCGCAACGCCTTCACGAGCTTCCTCCGAGAAGGAAATGAGCGAAATCAAGATTTCCTCCATTCGGGAAATGCATTCGAGAAGTATTTCGCGTCGCCAAATAAGATTCTGAAGCACCGAGTACTAAGCGCTAAGCACCAAGCGCTAAGCACCACTCCCGTAATCCAGTCAGTGCACATGCAGTCGATGAAGTGCGGCGGAAGCGAGCGGGAAAATGAAGATGGACACACGCGTCAAACTAGGCTTTTCCACCGTGCACCCTGGAATATACTAAAAAGCGGGTAGTATACGCCCCCCTCCCCACACGAGCCCTTCCTCTCACAAAAGAACCCGATCGAAGCGAAAAGGCGACGGAGAGCACCCGGAAGAGCGAACCGCCGAGCACGCCCATCGAGACCATTGAAGCCTAATCGGCCGAGCCGCAACTCGCCTCGGTTCTCTCTCCCCTCCCGACGGGAATCCTTCCCCCTCGCTTTCCGACCCGACAGCAGAAGAAACGCAACAGACCACGATCTCTCCCCCGCGGATCCCAGAATCGGTGAGTACAGGCGCCAGACCTAGACACGAGCCTGAAGCTGAGCCTAACGGAATCCTAGCGTAGGCCTAAGACCCTCCACGAAACCTAGCCTAGCCTAGGCCTAGGGTTGCCACTCCTTCATAATTAGTATGGACAGTTCGTATTTCAGATGCAATGTCCATACTGCAAACTTTTCCTAATAGGGACACTACTTCATCCATACTTAAACTTAAGATTTTTTAGTTAATAATAATAATGGTTTATTGAAGATCATGACTGTTAGTGCATCAGCAAATTGGTATCCATCGCCATTTTGGGGGTGAAATTACGAAAGCATCGAGTCAAGAATATATGAGGCGAAGTGAAGTGAAGAAGTCGTGTTAGGCGGATGATGCGTTCAAGAGGCATATAGGGGACTGTTGACTTGTAGAAGCGTTGGGTTTTGCGCTTGAATTCCAGCAAGAGGTGAGAAATGTTACGTCGCAAGGTCATGGAAGGCATCTGCCAGAAGGGGGGGCAAGGAATGTCGACGAGATGGGTTGGCTAGTAGGGCATGGGCATATTTTAACGTGAGCTTCTTTCGCCTGTCTGCCAGAGATGGCAACTGAAGAGTATCTAGAGCCTCCTTATATGACGTAATGTCACTCCCAAAGATGAGCCGAAAAGCGCGCTTCTGGACTAGCTCGATTGAATTTGCCAAATTGGTGGTCAGTGAGCTGCTCCAGGCAGGGGAGGCGTATTCTAGCACTGGGATGATGTACGAGGACCAAACAGCAAGTAAATCTTCACGGGGCGCTCCCAAGGATTTTAAGATCTTGAGCACAAACAATCGTCTAGATGCCTTGGCTACGACCGCCTTGGTGTTTGCGGAACGCAAACGTCCTGGATCCACACACCCAAAAGGCGAATGCAGGTCTCTTTCGCCAAAACATGGCCTGCAATGTGGAGGGTATGATGGATGGGGAGGGACTCGGTGAAGCAGAACCGTATCGCTGTGGACTTGTTAGGGTTTTCGTATTGTTAGAATGGGTCCATTCCTCTTGTTGCAAGAGGGCAGGCTGGAGATCGGGGATGGAGTTCTTGGGATGGGCCACCATCGTCGACGTACTTGAAAACTTGGGCCATTGACCATCACGGAGAACAGTAAGGGGCCCAACACCGTGCCTTCGGGGGTGCCACATGCGAGCGGGAAGGAATCAGAGAGGATCCCGTTGTAGCGTGTAAGCCGGGATCTTTTACTTAGGAATGACGCTAGCCAGGTTATTATGCTAGCATATCTCTCAAGTAGGGATATTTTCTTCAGGAGAATAGTATGATCTAGTCAAAAGCTTTGCTGTAATCAACAAGTACGCAAGATGCTGCAAGTCCAGCGTCGACGTGTGTATGGACTCGGTGGAGGAGGTCAACTAGGTAATCCGTTGTCGAAATGCCTCTACGGTTTCCGTATTGAGATCCATGAAGCTTGGAGATCGTTTCGCTCATCCGTCGAATGATAATTTTCTCCAGGATCTTGCACGGGGTACAGGTGAGTGAAGTGGGGCGAAGATCGTTCAAGGACGAGGGAGGGCTTTTCTTTGGGATCGGGGCAACGATAGCCTCTTTCCATAAAGAGGGTACTGTTCCCGCTTGGAGAGAAGCATTGAAAATGTCACATAAGGGTGTTGCGAGTTCAGCAGCGAAATCCTTGTAGATCCAGGTTGGGATATTATCAGGGCCCGAGGCGGAGGACTGCTTAGTTTTCCTTAGCTCATGGTACACCTCAGGAACAGAGATCAAATGGGGGAGAAAGGAAGGGAGAAAGGCCGGAAGTTGGGATGCGTTTGAGGGAAGGTAGTGCCCTGCAGGACTGGGACAAATGATGAGCTTATTAGTTTTGCAGCCGCCTTCGTGTCTTGTCCAGCAATTTCAGCGATGTGGGAAAAGGTGGAGGCTGGTCGGGGCACTCCGCAAATGGACTTAACTCTGTTGTGCCACTTCTTTGGGTCAGACGTCCGAAGTAGGCGGATCTTGGTCTGATAAAATGTGCGCTTTGCGTAGGAGATCTTTTGTTTTACCAAGATGGTCAGTCGACGATGTTCTGGGTAATGCTTGGAGTGGAAGGCATGCTGACGGAGGCGGATAAGTTGTTTAATTTTTGCAGACATCCATGGTTTATCTCGCGAACTGATGCGGATTCTCCGAGTGGGGAAACATCGAAGGACTTGATCTTGGAGTGTTAGGGTGAGAAGATTCACTTTAGCGTCCAGATCAGTCATGGTTTTGATATCTGTCCATTGATGGCTAGTGATCCATAAACCAAAATCTCTGACAGCAGAATCATGGTAGCGTCTGATATGGACTGTGGTGGATGTTTGTAGAAGAGGAACATAGTGAAAGGGCCTCCACCAGATGACGTTGTGGTCACTATTTCCTAGGGGGGGGGACGGGCCTGTGGTTCTTGGTACCAGTCATGCAAGTCAGTGAAAATAAGGTCGATGATTGACTCGTGGCGGGTATGACATTGAACAACTTGGGTCAAACAACAGTTTTCACTGATTGCACTGACAGGGGAGTCGTTGAAGTCACCAGCCACCACAAATTTGTCACCCGGGTGTAGGGCACGGAGTTTATCAAGGGACTTGATGATGTGCTCAATCAAGTTTTCGTTGTGCGTGCTTCTAGGAGGCGAATACACAGGTTAATTGCCGATATGGAGCGAGGAAGCCAATTTGGTCGAATGCGAATCCACACTACCTCTAGCTGATCATCTGATTCGACGGGGAGGCATTTGGATGGAATGCCCTCAGACACAAAGATGGTGACTCCATCACCTTTCTTACCGTTTCTGGTGTAGTGATAAGCGTTGTACCCGTCCACCAGGACGTGCGTTGACGCCATTCCATCTTTTGCTTGGGAGCCAGGTTTCAGTTATGATTGAGACAGAGGGTCTGAGTCGCATCATTTCGTTTCGGAGTTCGTCTAGCTTATTTCTTAGGGACCTGGTGTTGGATAGAAGAAAGCATGGAAGGATCCTTCGAGGTCTTTTGCACTTGCCACCACGCTTCCCTCTTATTTTCTTAGATGATAGGATATGAAGTGATTTCAGGAGGGAGAAAAGGCTATCGTCGAGCCGGATCAGGGTCGAGCCATATCGAGCTGATACGGGGAAGCACGGGAGAAACTTGTTCCAGACATGTTGACTGGTTCAAGGACATTGGCATGGGGTCTCTAGGCCTGGGTATATTCTAAATGGAGTGAAGACTTTACCCAATTGGGGATATGGACTTCTTGACCAACGGTGCTAAACCGACCCAAACACATGCCACCCGTATATCTTGAAATCACAATGTTTAGGGTCCACATCGAGGCACATACACAAAGGTAGGAAAACAATCCAAAACGCAGAGTAGGGCGAGGAGTGTGGCTGCCTGTCAGGGCGCCATCTTCTTTTCAGTATAAAACTTAATAGCAGCTAAAATTTATTCGAGCCAGAGTAGTATGCCACACCCTTATAGCATCAATTGGTACGTTGATTAAAGGTGGCTGTAGGTATTTCGAGCAGAACCACAAATGCAAGTATACTTCATGTATTTGTCCATGTTTCCATTTGTCCACAGACCATATGTCCATATTTTGCTAATTTCAAAGGTGGCAACCCTGCCTAGGCCTAAGAACCTCCACGAACCCTAACTTAGCCTAGGCCTACCCTCTAGAGACCCTCCTCGGAACCCAGCCCAGTCAGTCATCGGCAGCCGTCAAGGAAGCATCCCCGTGCCAGACAGAGGCTGACACTCCAGGCGAGTTCAAATGCAGCCCGATCGTCCGATTCAATCAATAATTTTCCCAAAACTGTCTTTCCTAGAAACCTGTTATACAAGTTCATCGAGTCGAGTGATTTTTTGTTCATCTGTCAAACGGGCGGTTTTTTTTTCAGCCACCGTTTTTAGACGTTTCGAAAAACCGAAATGCGAATATTTTACCTTCCCTTTCACGACCCGATGAAACGAAACGAAACGAAATTTTATTAAACGAAAATATCTATGAATTTCTAAGCTTCCTTCCGTGGTGGTGAGCAGACATCGAATTTTTTAATATTTATTTTTAAATTGGAAGGAATGTGACGCATTTTCTCGTGTTTTTTTTTGTCGATACGTGTCTGCGTCTGTAAACTCCTAACTACCAATTTGGAAGGAAAACAAAATATTTAAATATAAATTAGCCCTTTCCCGCAGGTTCATCCCGATACTGTGACGGCTTTGAGTTGATGCACTAAAAAATATAAGAATAATAAATATAATAAAGTACGAATAAAATAATAATAATAAAGAGAGAACTAAAACTAGAGCACCTTCTTTGTGCGAAATTTCTCCCGGCTGAACCGGGAAATATCCCTTGTAGAGGCATCCACTGTCACGACGGAACTGCCGCTTCGCCACTTTCATTTTCTCCTCCAAGGGCAGCGCGAAGAACCTGCGCGAACGCGAACTCGTCGTGCAGCACGAGCGAGACCGTTGAACAAAAAAGGCGGGAGAATCGGAAACGCACCATTTGGTGTGTCGCAGCAAGGCGTTCGAGTCGTATCCGGGGATGCCGGTGACGTAGAAGAACCCCGAGTGTTCCAGGGCGGCCAGGAGCCGACCCGCCACCTCGGACCGCCGTCCCGCGCGAACGAGCCCCAAGTCGATGACGGGGAGGGCACCCTCCCCCCACGCCCTCCCTTCGCCCTCGCCCTGCATCCTCCCTTCGCCCTCGCCCTGCATCCTCCCGGGTTCGACCTCGACTGTCGCGTCGGCGAAGGCGAACGGGACGACTGAACCCGGCTCTCGTAAATCTTCCTCCCTCCCTCCCCTCGTAAACGTCTTCCCCCTTCTTTCGATTCTCATGAATGGAAGGGAAAGCGAGCGCTTATCGATGTTCTGCCTCCTTCTCGGGAAGCGCCACTCATCTGCCCCGCTCCGATAGCGTATCTACAACGGCAGCACGAGGATCTCTTTGGAATTCTCGCTCGTCCGGCCGCTCGGAACGAGCCGAGCGTCCGGCCGCTCGGAACGAGCCGAGCCCCCATCCGGATTCGAAGCCGGACCATCGTCTACACCAGTGTTTCTCAACCTTTTCCGCGTCGCGACCCATCAAGTCCTCTTCCCTTCTTCGTGCGACCCGCAGATTTAGAAACGTCCAGAAATACTGCAGCCGTGCGACTCGGAAAAAAAAGAAAGATTGAATTATTTAAATACGGAAATGACGCTCTCTTGGCACTGGTGATTCCTTCATCATTGCTTCCTGTTTCCTCTTCGATCTTTCTCCGAAAGAACTCCACCGGTTTATCCTTCGATGTCGAGTGATTTCGATCGAAAATGCTGCTTAGATTTTGAAGGCTTCATGGATGCTTTGCCCAGCCGTTCGTCACCAATTTAGCATTCTGGTTTCATACTTTCTGCCACTGTGAAACCACACCGAACGTACGAATCGTCACGCTTCCGGATTTGTACCATTTTTTTGCCGACTTCTGTCTCTGCCATAACCAGGTGTGCTACAATTAGTACCAGCGCTTGCACTCGGTTTTACCGGGAAACATTCCGTCTGCATGTGAATGTTGTACCGAAATAAGTAAATACAAGAAGTTATAGATTCGATGAACTTCGTTCGCCTCCCCCTCCCAAAAAAGAGAAGAAATGACATTAGTTCATGTAGAAGAGAAACGAAATCGAAAATTAGCATCGACTTCTGCCTGCAAAAAACCACGGCACCCTTAACCACGGCATCCAGGAACCAGAGGGAAAGCCAGAACCGACTGGGGACGAAGGTTAAGAGAAATGGGGATTCGAAAGCAATTTTAAAGCTGTTTGCCCCTTCTTGGAATCGTTTGCCAGCAAGCCCCCCCCCCCCCCCCCCCCCCCCCCCCCCCCCCCCACCCCCCCCCCCCTCCCCCCCCCCCCCCCCTCCCCCCCTCCCCCCCCCCCGCGCTGCCTTCTTGTCTGGATTAATCGATGAGGTCGTTCCCGGAAAGTCTAGCCCTGGTGATATAATTCGGTTTGGGACTGACGCCTCATCTCTTTTTTTCTTGATATCTCTCTCTCGTCCTTTAATTGATTCTCTCGCGACCCAGCGGTCGAGAACCGCTGGTCCATGCCACCTCGTGGGTACATACTGTATTTTTTTCCACAGCATACGGCGAGGAGTTGGATTCATTTGAGCGCCTGGATCGCCCGAGTGCTTTGCACGGGGCCGAGACGGCTCTCGAATCGAATGAGGGCTCCGAGCCGGTTCTTGAGGGGATCGCCCCCCCCCCCGCACGGTTGCGGAATGGAATTAGCGGTCACCCGTTCTGCACAAAATGATATTTGCACACG